TGGAACCCCTATCACCTGTCAGGTCTTACACAAAGTTTACTTTACATATTTCATTGTTTGTCTGTGTCAGATAGTCCTTTCCAGCCCAGGCTGAAAGCACAGGAAGGCCCTCACTGCCTTGACAAAACGTGCTGATCTCTGAACATCCTGGTGCCATCAGGAATGTACATTGGGCTGTACCAGCCCTCTGCTGTCCAGGGACACAAATGGTTTCATTGCTTACTGAAATGCCTCCACAGACTCCTGGGCTGATATAAAAAGAGACAGAATACTTAAATGGCATGTACATTTAGCATATAGAAAGACCAACTGGTTTGGAAAAAAAAAATACAGCTAATGACAGTTTTTATTCATGTACTGCTTTTCTGACTGCTCTATTACCACATTAGAAGCCTAAATTTGCAATTGAAAACAGCTGCTATTTGGCTTACTCACTCTCTAGTTCTTGGACCAAAGTAAGCAGTATGTCCTACCAGAATCTCAATAGATTGAAAAACGTATCAGTTTCCATGAACTCTGAGACCAACAGTTTTCTGCTGAGAGTTTTCCCTGAGAAAGTAGAGCAGAACTGCTTGACAATGCTCAGAAACACCTGCCTCTTACTAAGTAGGTCTTTGCTTGAGCTCAATTTATTTTGTCTTGGAAGAAAAAAAAAAAAAAAGTGATCATTAGATCTAAACCCAAACACATTCATTCACCTAGAAGCATGATCCAACTAATATTAGTCACAAACCTTAATGCTGGGCAAAGTGACTCACATTAATCCCATCAAGAATGTGCTGCTGGTACTGTTTGCATCAGCAGAAAAACACATCTGTCTGTGGTAATGAGATTTATTGTGCAGGCAAAGTCCAGGAGTGTCTAAAACCAATTTAGCATTAAAACCTCAACTACCTTGGGTTGTCATGGAATTGACAAAGGTGTAAGCACAGATTTCCCTCCACCACTCACCTGGCTGTGTTGTTTGCTGCTGCACTAAATACTGAGACTGCCCCTGAGGCACCTCAGCAGAGCTCTGGGGAAGTGACACTAAGCTGAAAGGCAAGGATCCTTTCTGGAAAACCGAAAATCAGCTAGGAAGAATGAGAAAGCAAAACTGCTAATGCCCAAACACAAGCTGCAAGCACCTTCCTTGTTCAGAGACAGGTACAGATTGCTTTTCTTCAAGTCATGATTTCCAGCATTTGGGAAGCTCAGATGTACTGTGTTATACTGGGAAGGTATGTTTTATATTGCATTTGCAGTGATAATATATCCTTACTGCTTTGAAATGAGGTCTGCAAAGCCCAAAAAGGCAGCTGTATTTCTAAACACAGAGTAACATTTACATTACAAGCAAGGATGTCAAAACAGGCAACAAGGCAGAAAGGAGAGTTGGAAACAACAAATACACAGAAAATTTAGATACACAGAAAATTTAGATACACAGAAGTTTATCCTAATGTTTACCCATATTCCAATGCTTCAAGAAGACTGAACACTTTGACATGATCTGAAGAGCCTTTGCCAGCCAGACTGTTTGATGTTGTGTTGGCTCTGTGACAAAGCCAGTCTGTGCAGGAACGCTGGCATTGTTTTCTGATCAAAGCAGCCCTAATGGCATTAAACCTGAGTTGTGGTCTGATGTGCTTTCTTCCCTCAGCCATCAGTTCTCTACTCTGCCACCAACTTTTTCTTGAGCTGTTGCATTATGATATTCTGCTGTTTTAAATCATGCTCAGAATTTTATTTCAGCTAATAAGAATTGATTTTCCCATATTTTCTGCTATGCTGGGCATGGAAACAGGAGGTTGTGCATACACAGAAAAGGCTGCTTGTGATGTGACACTCAGTTTCTGTTGACTCCAAGGATATCACAAGGGGAAAGGGAAGCTGGAGAGCTTCAACAATTTTTGGATTAGACACTTGTGTAGTGTAATAGTGAAGTATGTGTTTAAAACTAAGCATGTGCTTATGTTCCTTTATAAAAGGCAGGTGTAGAGCAACCGTGGCTATAGCAGGATGTGAGTGGGTTACCCCAGTAACCATGCACGACCCTCACAGGATGAGATGCTGCCCATTCATGCAGCTCTCTCACTTTATACTTGTCTTTGCCTTCACAGATAGCAAAAGGGTCTTACAATTTCAAATAAAAGTAAACTACTTTGCTGTTACAAAATCAAACATCAGATGCTCAGAGAATACAGCTCCACTGATGGCAACCAAAGCACAATAGATTAAAGTGACTTCATAACTCAAGTCTCAGTTTGCTAGTGCTAGTTTCTCTGCTCAGATGTGACACAACCCATCTAAGAGCACTTTACACAGAACTTACAGGTAAAGTTAAGGGTTTCTTCATTACTATGCTGCCTCCCAAGTTCATATTGTCCACTGCAATCACTGTTGCTGCTGCAACTCAAATTTCTCTTTTGTTGTCTGTGATTGCAACTACATATGATGCCAACCAGAGTGAGCATGAGGGAATGTGAGACTCAGTGATGCTACAGGCTGGATATGAGCTCCTGTAGTCACATCTATCACCTGACTTTAAAACATTCTGTCTAACACTGCCTCCTTGAAAGCAAGGAAGTCAAGCTGACTCTTCATTCTCTTCTTATAGTTTTTGAGCAGCTGTCATTGGTTTAAAATGAGTTGGGTTTAGTAGATATTCCATGTCCACTTTATAGCACAATTGACCTGACTTAAATAGGTGAAGACATATCCCTAGCAAAGCTGTAACAGGCATCAGGGATGGATGAAAAGACTTAATAAAAAACAACTTTCAGACCTTTTACAGAAGAACTCAAGCTGAATTTATTATGAAGTTCTTAAATGTCCAAACACATTTTATTGCCTTCTGGTTTCCAGATGGGTGTGCATCCAGAACACCAGAATACCACAAATATGCTACTTTGTTTTCCCCCAGCTGCAATCAGAAGCAGCTGTAACAGAAGGCTATAGAAAAGCCTGATTATTAGAGTATGCCTGTCTCTAGTTTTCAAAAAATGAGAAGTTTAGATAATTTGAGTAAACTTTGTACGGACATCCAATTATTTAGGATTGCATTAGGACACATATTCCAAACTCTTGGAAGCAAATCCTTCACTAGCTCCTTGCTCCTAATGAAGGAAGTGGAATACTCCAGTGGGTAAAATTCAAGGGAAGGGACTCTTGTTTAGCCCAGCTCTAATAAAAAAGGCTGGCTCTGCCAGTATCACTGGAATTCTCTACTGCTCAATTTTCCCATTATTCTAGGGAATCAAACTTCTAAAGCAATTTGTTGGATTGTCAGGTTACCACTCCTACTTTTGTTGTTTTTTTAATTAACTGCATCCATTTGCAGTGATGAATTTACTATTTTTTTCAGCATCCCCCTGAATTCTATTCAAAATCCAGTAACTGATCAGCATTTTGGGGTTTAATCAGCAAGGTGTCAAGAGGTCCTAGGACCAGCTGGCTCTGAAAGTTGAAGGCACACAACCATCCCAGAACCTTGCAAGATGAAGACCACAAAGGCTGTATTTAGTATTTGCACGTCAATTTTAAACCCATTGTCTGCCTTTCCAAGCTGGCTTTACTGTCCTTTTACTCAGCAGGCTTACAGAGCTACTCGCGCACACCCTGTCCAAAACATTTGCCCATATTAAGCAAGTGATCCCCTATCGAAATCTGCATGAACCTTGTGGTGAAGGGCAGGAAAATGAAGCTGCTTTTGAAGTCCAAATTTTTATCCAGCTTTATGGAAAAATTTAAATCAGAAATGGTTATAATTTAGCCAAATAATAAATTCATTAATATTAGTTCCCAGAATCTAGAAAGAACAAATATTATCTAAATAAACAAATCTAAGTAAGTGAAGACAAATACTAACTCTTGGGCTTATATGGAAGTTGGCTGAAACCTGCAGCAATCCTGACTCATAATAAAAATGATTTATTTAGAGACTTATTATGAACATTGCAGGAAAGGTGATAACAGACATGTACCACTTTGTTTACAGTAAAATTTCCTGTAAATTAAAGAGTTCTTATTCTTTGTTTGGTTTTGATTTGGTATTGTACCAAGTATCTGTTTATAAAAGGAAATATGACAGTACAAAGTGTACAAAGGGAATTGCAGAAGAGATTAACAGTTAAGGTGAATTTGCTTTAAATTAAGTCCTAGCAACACAGACAGTATATATCCCATTATTTAGGTAAAGAAGGTCAGTTCAAAGCAGATCTTTCATGCACCATTTTTGAGAGCTAAACTACTGAAATTCAGGACAGAAAGCTACTCTCCCAAAAGATTTTTAAAAAATACTCAGGTGACTAAGAGATATGGCAGGAAAAAAATGTTGCAGAGCACAACAAAGGAGAAGTTTGATATAAAGTAGGCACTGTGTTCCAAGGGATTAAGTATTGAGGACTTTCTCCTTTTTGTGGATTATTTTGTTTATAACACTCCCTAAACAGCTTATTAAGGAATCTTTCTGAAGCCATATTTATATGACAAAGTATGTCTCGACCTCAAATAATCCCGTCCCACAGGGAATCTTCTGTGGGCACTCCTGGATGAAGATAATGTATTCACAGTTGAAAAAGAATAATGAAAAAACACATTACATGTTTTATCAGGATGCAAGAAGAGAATCTGTTTTGTAGAAACAACTCCTTGGGTTGGATTAACATTGGATCCAGCCTGTTATCTCCAGAGATCAGACTTCATGGATCTCCAAGGTCTCCACCCAGGGAAAGAAAATACTTGTGGATGGAAGAACTGGATCTGGGTCATATTAACTCTCCTTCTACATGTAACCAAGATTGACATGGAGGAAAGAATTGTGAAATCAGTGACATTATCTGAAGGCCAGGAGTTACCTGTGTTCGTGGGCTTTACTCCAAACAGTCCTAAGATCCATTGTTTGATATTAAGAGCTAAAAAATTAATGCTGGATTTTTCAACTCGTAGTTAATCAACCCAGTTTGCAGCCAGTCCTGTGCATACAAGCTCAGTGGTTTAGAAGGCATGCTAGCACTCACCTGGGGGCATGTGCTCATTCATGATGACGAGTGATGCTGGCGTTGGCCTTCTTTTCCTGATCTGGAACAGATACAAACCAAGGGCAGTCAGTAGGGCCCATCAGCTGCCACACACACAAGGCAAAGCTAAAAATCTGTCTGGTGTCCTCCAGAGTATAGAGCAGGCAAAGTTAAAAAGGAACTACGTAAAGAACAGCAGCACTTCACTGTCTTAGTGAGAGCTTGTCTGGTCTGACAGCAATCAGGGTCATGCTGCTGCTTGTCCAGGGAGACCAAAGGCATGGGGAGAGCTGTCCAAAATACCTTTGGGATTTGTAATCATCTTGAATTCAGTTTTTTGGATATGTATTGCTGAAAAATATCAGTCATAGCTTAAAATATTGACATTTAGCTTTGCATCAGGAAGATGATCTCATAGTTTCTGAGCTTGAATGTACAAATACCTAGCACTGCCATAGCTCTCTCAAGTAATAATTAATAATATCTTTCAAGTGCATTTCAGAGTTTTGCAGGTAAGCCTTCCAATGAGCTCATGTTTCTAAACTGTTTTCAGAGGTGTTACTACAGTAAGAGTTCCTTAACTAAAAATACTCCTGTATTTAAGATCCTTAAAAAGAGTACTTCCAATATAGCAGATTTTACATATCAATACATACTCCTGAATTGTATGCAATTCTTCAGAGTTTGTCTGGGTAACTACTTTTGTTCCATTAACAGTGGCTGAACTACATGGTATTGGAATACCCTCTTATAATGCACACATTTGCACTAAAAGCTTTGTATTGCTTCACAAAAGCCTCCAGGCCTGATATTCTATTGAATTTAAGACAGGGACCAGGAGCATTTAAGCTAGAAACCTTCTGACACAAAACCTCAATGTCAGTGCGTTTGTTCTTTTTTATTTGCTGAGCCAACATCTGTATTTAGCTAGGTTCAAATTTTGCTTTCAGAGGTGTAAATGGAAAGTTACATCATCAGGGTTAATGGGTTTATTCTAGATTAGTGTAACTGTAGCTGACTGTAGAATTTACTATTTTAATTTCATCACACACCCACAGTGAAACTGTATAGCACTTGGAATCAAACTCACAACGCACACACACACACACACAAAAAAAGGGACTGCCCATAAATACCAGGCAGAAAATAGGCTACAGCATTTCAACAGCCCTGGGAATTCCAGGAAATCCTAATCCTATGGTTCTCACAGATTGCAGAAAAGCACCAGAACACATTCTGCTTGAATTCACTGCAGAACTGTTCTGTGAGGGCTGGATAGCTTCACAGCTCAGAAGTGCCTATGGACAAAATGGGGATCCACAACAATTCTTTTCTGCATCCTTCTAATATTTCGCATTCAGTGATCACTCCCAACTCATCACTTTCTGGAAAAGCTCTCTGCCTTTTAAGAGACACAACATCAGTGCATTCAGGAAACCAGGTACAAATAATTTCATGGCCACTGGTATGGAATTTCAAGGTTATAATATTCCCCTGGTGTCATCTAAAATCAGATGTACCCAAATAGAAGCAAATGTTGAGGACAACTTGCACAGAGAGAAATATACTGGGTCACCTAATTAAGATTTATGCAGTTTTCTCACAAAACTGCCTGTGACCTTTTATTAGGCACATCTACACATATCTGTACACAGTAATGGGTATCTTTTCCTCCTTAGACAGTACTGAGATACATATATGTATCAGTACTATATATATATATATGTATGTATATATATGTATATATATATTATTATGTGTATCTTTTGGGAGTGAGTTAAAACTTAAAATAGAGCACATATTATTCCAACAAGGACATAAGTACAGCGTATTTCTACATGCATATATTTTTCAGGCACGTAAAACATTGTAAAAATGACTTGAAGACTGTAAAAAATCATGAGAAATATAGGAAGTAACTGAAATGATGACTATTGTGCAAAAAATTAATTGTATTTTGTCATGTTAAAATGAAAGGTAAATAAGATGTTTTCCCAATATTTCTGTTAGGTACCTATTATGAACTTTATGCTTTGCTTTATGTACATATAATACACTTGAACTGATTTGTTGAGAATGCATTTGTTGAGTGTTTTTATGTGAAATGTAAGTATTAGGGTAGAAATACAGAAAAGGCACAACAAATATACATTAATAAACCTACCCAAGGTGAAGAAGCCTTATTCTGGCTAGAGGACATATCCTTCTCCCTCTTTAGGTATATCAAACACCACTATAACCTCCGGAGTATTTAATCTACAGTTTCACTAACATAAGCTAGGAAAGCCTTTAGGCCACAAGTATCAGCCACATCCTGCCCCATTCCCTGGAAACAGTGAAGGAAACTCATCTTCCTTACCTGCTCAGCTGCCTCAGGGTCTATTTGGCTCTGAAACAGGGGCACAGCAAACTGTATTTTTTTGGGGCTGTTGGGCTCCATGGCGATGCTGAGGTGAGGCAGGGGAGAGCAGAGCCTGGAGCTGGAGCTGGAGCTGGGTCTGTGCTGAGCCCCGGCGCCGTCGCCGCGGCCGGGCTGGAGCTCCGCAGGAACAGCTGTAACTCCCGACTTAGCCCGGGAATCTGCGCCAGCCCAGCGGCTCCCGTGCTCCACATCCACAGAGATGCCACTGGCTTAGCTATTTTCTTTTTTTTTCCCCTCTCTTCAGCAGCCCTTCAGATCCTCTCAGCAGAAAGCTGGAAGGAACAATAAGCTAATTGTGTACCGGCTCACTTCCACATATGCCAAGCATTCACTCAGGAGCTAATTGAAAATGCAATACTAGCGCTGCACGGCCTGGAGCCTTGGGATTTGAAAAAGAGGATCTCTCCACCGTATATTACTAACTGGCTGCTCAGAAGTGCAATGCAAGCTCCCTCTGAGTATTGCTGATGGGCTCTTAATTATTGATGAACACAAATCAGGAAGTTTTCAGATTTTGGGGGTGGAGGTAGCAGAAGGGGTGGATTCAAAAATTCGATCTCTGCTACAGTGTGCCAGAACCGCTCTCCTCTTTGCACATATCAAACAATTCCCTTTGCTCTTTCAAACATTTTTTTAATCCTACAATTTTAGACTCTACTAAATCTTACAGGAAAATTTTTGATGATGATTCTACAGAGTTGTCCACAATTTCATGACATTTCTCTGGTGAGTTTGCACGTCAGGCCTGGTTTTCATACTTAGACTGTGATTTCTTTTGGTGGGCTCCATTTCACGTGACTCCAGATACTGAGAACACTCACATTTGAGCCTGCTCTCTGGGCTCCTTCGTGCTAAGCACATCAACAGGCCTCTCATTCTATCCAAGTCAAGTGGGATATAGTGTTTACTCAAGATTACATTTTCTCTCCATTAACTCTAGAAAAAGGAAAGATGATTCAGACTAGTTAAAGCACTTTTGGATGACTAAAATTCAGAGGCTAAATCCTACTTAAAATCTGTGCCTCATTCCAAGATCAGGAAAATAATTTGGTCAATCGTATCAATAGTACTCCTTCATGAATATAATTGATTTTAATTTGTAATTTCATGTTATTTCAAAAATGTGTGAAACAACATCCAGCAATCACTGATCTAGCCTGCCTCTTTGCAAAACTCAGAGGAATTTGAAAATGTTCAGGCCGCTGAGAGCACTAAGGATTTTCACAGCTCACCACAAGCTTATTGAGTCACTGAGTACTTTCCCACCTGTGCCAGTGGAGGAGGTGGGGAAGGAGTGAGGATTGTGGGTGAGAGCAATGCCCTGGCCATACACACAGAACAAACCAGCAAGTCAGACATGAAATACTTGTTTGGCTTTGATTTTTGCAAATTAAAACCATGACACATTAGGAACACCAGGCTGTTTCTGAGCAGAGGCAAGCACACAAGTTAGTTGGTTTGGGAAGGACCTGATAAAGCTTAGGAGGGGAGGATAAACTTTAATCTAAGGATCCAGTTGGCTCAATGATCAAAAATAACTCTCCATGAGGGCCAAAATTCCCCTCTTCATCCAAATCAAAGCTACTGTGAACCATAGTGGTTCCCAGCTGACAACTAGTCGCTGGCAACTTTACTGTTTGATTTCTTATGATAGTTGAGGTGACTTTTGAATCATAGAAGAGTCTGATTGGTCAGGACCTTCTGGAGATACTTGGTCCCACCATCTCTGCCTGAGACCAGGTTATTCTGGGACCTCTCAGTCTGAATCCTGAATGTTTTCGGTGCTTAAGTGAAGTGCTTAGCTTCATTTAACAAAACAAATGAAAGAGATGCACAAAACACTGATATTCAGTGTTTCATATGCCCATTTTTAAGCCTTCACTGTTCCTACAAAGACAAAACATAATTTGTTTTATAGACTTCCTCAGTTAGAGCAAGAGTGCAATTGTTGTGGTGGCACAATGATGTCTAAGGCACTAAAGTAAGAGAGACACACTCTGCTTTCAACAGGACAATTAGAGAATTGTTTTCAGGACAGTCTGATTATCCAATTTCATAGTTCCTTCATGCACAGATGTGCCATTATCTTCCATGACAGCTTCAGAGACATACCAGGGATATACACACACACATACACAGGGTTACACCTGGGGGAGGACATAAGCAGGGATCTGAAGTGGCTTTCCTCTTGAGTTTTGATACTTGAAAGAAAATAATGTTTAGTTTTGCTGTGAGATACTGTGAGAAAAATGTTTTCCAGATACACTGATACCATAAGTATTAATAAATTGTATATTTTAAATATCAAGCTTCTCTAGAAAATACCTGTTTTCCATAAAATATCTATTCTAGATGTCTATGAAACTTCATGTATTAAATTGCACAATTACAATTCTAATATATGTTACTGATCACAGGAGCTGTAATTTCACTGCAAAGGCTTAACATTTCTTATGTCAATGATAAAGTAATTTTATAAGCCATATTCAGACAGTAAAAAATTATTAAAATATTAAGTGCTCAAAGGATTATAACAGTGTGTTTCGGCTCTAGATTGCTGGACATTGCTGTCCAAAGGAATCATGTCTCAAATGCATCTTTATTAATGGTATATAAGAAACAAGCTGAGCAGCCTTACAAAGAACCCAGACCAACAAAACCACTTTTTGGCAGCTTCTGAAGGGAGACAGACAACAGGACAGACCAGAACACAAGGACTAATCCTTAATGGGGCTGGCTAAGATTGGGAGAGAGGCCCCCCAAGAATGTGATGTGGAAGCATTTGCTCCCTGCAGCTTTTCTCCCTGTGCCTATTTGGAGCTGGCAGCCCAACAATCTTCACATGCACTAATACAATAACAGTATTTTTAAAATAGTATAAGAGGCATAGTGAGAGAGCACTCAGCAATAGCATTTCAGGATGCCTGCCTTGGCTCCCTCTCACACCAATTTGCAGCATTAGAAGTCTGCAGGCAAAGTGTGCTGGCATTTTCCATAGACTGCATCATAGTCTGGGGAGAGCTGAAACACTTAAGTACTGACACATCCTTGTAGTTCATCTTCTGTTTTTAGTGCACTCCCCACAACTTCAGTTTCAGATGCCTTCATGATTCAGCTAAAACTGTAATGGAATTAAAAATAATAAGAACTGTGCAAGATCTTTCCTTCCTATGTCATTGACTATGTTTTGGTATGAAGCCTTTTAGAACATCCTGCTGTAGGGAGCTGTGGAAGCACTCGTGGCATAGTTCCTGCTTGAGCTATTTCCCCTGGTGTCTAGGAAAGGTTTCTATCTTGTTTCCAGCCAAAGACAAGGCTTCTGGGGTGGCAATTCAAGGGTGTTGGTTCTGCACTCTTTATACAAGTTTTGTTGTGGCCCTGATCTGCCTCGGCTCCTCTGGTGTGGTCAGAGACTACTGCAGCATCACTCTGGAGAAGACAGCTGGAGTTCCTTATAAAACAAACCTGCTTAGGGCTTTGGCTCCTAAACTCACCAGTGCAGATGCAGAGAAGCACTAAGTTGCAGCACCCTGATCCAACAGGGGCCTTTGCAGAGCAAGTTTAGACGTGGCAATTCTTCCAGTGTGTCTCAGACACAACTTTAATCCCCATTTGAGCCACTGATATGTGAGAGATTTAACAAAGATATGTTGCCCTGTGCTTTCCCTGGGCTCTCCAGCTGGCCCCTCTCCTCACAGCAATGCATCCTCAGCATGGGCAGCCCCAGCAGCACCAGAGGGAGAAACACTGCAGAGCACTCTGGCTTTCTGCTGCAGCCAAAAGGGCTTCCATGTGCCTCTTCCTTCTGCCTTTTTCTAAAAACTGATGAACAGGTTCTTCCCTGCCTTTGCCCAGACAGGGGCATCAGTTTGCCCTTTGGGGCTCTGCACTGTGCCTCACTCATAGGTGCTGAAATCAGACAGAAGCCTTCTAAGAATAAAAAAATTACATATTCAAAATGACACTGAAATTTTCCTTTCCAAACAGCATTGCAAACAGGGTGACTCCCACTGAGCTGCTGGAAACACAGTCTGCTATTTATATATAGAAAATGCAAAGAATTTCATATTTGCCAGGGAGGTAGAATGCAGAGCAGATCTCATCTGCCTCATGAGTACCAAGTGCTGCCACAGTCATGTCAAGAAGAAGAACAAAAAGTCTTTCTGAGCAGTGACAGAGTCAGTGGGACATTCAGAGAGAGCTATTGGCCTGATAGCAGTCTAACCCAAATTTCCATTGCCAGTTCTTATCCACAGAGTATTGGGTTTGGACTTGTTTATGTACTAACTATATATGTGGATACATAAAGCCTAGATAAGTAAAGAGATACAGCTATTTCTATTTATACAAGCTCTTTAGTTAAGATAATAAATAATTCCTCAGCAGTATGGTTTTAATCAGAATCAGTTTAAAGTTATTTTATCTGAGCACAGAAGAACTTGCACTGTCTATTCCAGTCTTCCTCTGAAATTCATAGCTCTCCACACTTTGAAGTAATGTACAAACATTTACTGCTAGATCCCATCCACTACCATCAATAGAATACACACATCCAAAACACAGGAAAGGAGCTGGATTAATGGGACATGACCTGAGCAGACAGTCAAAAGATTCTTGCCTAATATGGACTATAGTTCAATAGTGCAGAAAGAAAAACTCTGGTACTGATTTTAGGAGGGTATTTCAGCAGGAAAAGATGCTACAATTTTCTTCCTTACCAAGAATAGGGTAAATCTAATACATCTTTCAATAAACAAAATTTTATAATGTACATAGGTTTTAGAATAGAATTATATTATGTTATTCCCATATTAAATCTTTAATGCAAAAGTTGCCTGACTATATCACTGAATTAAACAACTGAAATAGAAAATTCAGTTGTTACTGTAAATTTTTTTAAACAAAATTTAAAGTATAGAACACGTAGAAGATAAACCAAGGAATGAACTTCCACAGTTTCAGAATCTGAGTTAGAAAACCCCTGTGCAAACACACATTCCCAGGCAGAAAGTGAAAAGTCACCAAGTACCTGTAAAAGCTCAGTATGCCAATTTCAGAACATATTCTTAAAATTCTGATTTTTGAATTTGAGAGTTCAGATGGCCCTTCTTTCTTGCCTCCTCCTCCTCCCCCTCTAAGAACATGCTAGACCAAAAGATGTCAAAACAATCATCAAGGTCCTGCCTGTAGCATCTGCAAGGGAGGGACTGAGACACACCTGGGGGAGAGGATCTGGGTTTTGGTGAACTGGGCAGGATGGCTGGGGCACTTGTTGCAAAAAGCAATTGTTTGCTTTTTCCTATACAGGTGTTGGGAGTAGCAGGAATGGGGCTGCTCCACGAGTAGGGACAAGCCAGGAGCCAAGGCTAAGTGCGCTACCTGGTATGTAAATATCACACTGCCTAAGCAGTACCTACCTTTCCTAAATCCATGCTGCTGGGCTTTGGCTGTCCTCTATGTGTCACCAGATTGAACTCAAGTTAATCTGATCCATAACCTTCTCTGGCACTGAGGTCAGGCTGACAGGCCTCTCCTTCCCAGGATTCTCCTTCCAACACTTCTTGCAGGTGCGTGTCACATTGGGCAGTCTCCAGCTGGGACTCTTCTGGTTAACCACAACTGCTGACAAATGATGGAGAGTGGCTTGGCAAGCTCTTCCACCAGCTCCCTCAGTACCCTCGAGTGAATCCCACCTGGCCCCTTGTGAGACTTGTGAGTGTCTTAGTTATTAAGGACTGATTTCCACTAACACCCTCTGAACCACTGTCCTGAACAGGCCAAAGTCTGCCTTCTACAAGTTCAGGGTCGAGGTTTTGTTGATCCCTCTCCTTACTTCACCAAGAATCAGAAACTTGCATTTCGTGGTTCTGTGGTTGAAGGCTGTCTTGAGCACAGCATCTCCCACCAGCCCCTCTTTGTTTGTAAACAGATCTAGTGGGGCACCACCCCTTGTAGCCTTACTTACCAGTTGTGTCAGGAAGTTCTCTTCTGCACACTGCAGGACTGCCCCCTCTCCTCTGTTGGAGTTTCCTGGAGGTATCTGGGAAGATAAAGCCTCCCACAAGAACACAGGCCAACAATCATGAAACACCAGCCAGGCACTTATCAAACAGTTCATCTGCTGCCTCATCCTGGGTGGTCTGTAACAAACTCCCATCAAGATTTTTGCCATGCTGGCCTTCCCCCCCACTCCAATTCTCACCCACAGGCACTCACCCTTATCATCACTATCCTCAGCTCTGCACAGAATAAACACTCCCTAATGTGCAGAGCCACCCCGCTGCCTCTGCCTCCTCGAAGAGCTTACAGCCATCACTGCAGCACTCCAGTCACACAAGTCATCCCAGCACATTTCTGTGAGGGGCACTATGTCATGGCTGTCCTGCTGCACAATGGCTTCCAGTTCCTCCTGTTGGTTCCTGACACTGTGCATTGCTGCAGAAGCACATCAGCTGAGCTACTGATCCCACCCCAGCACTGGCATGCTGCCCCTAGGCCCATCTCTACTGAGCCAAGCCTTATCTCCCTCCCCCTGCCAAGCCAGCTTAAAGCCCTCTCAAATCACCACCACCAACCCACAGTCTAGAATCCTTTACCCCTTTTAGCCAGTGAACACAATCTGTCTCCAACAAGTCTGGTGCCACATGGACCAACCTATGACTAAAAAAGCCAAAATGCCACCAATGGTACAAATCTTTAAGCCACAGGATCAGGTGGGTTCTCCTGTTACTCCTACAGCCAACAGGCAATGACAAAGGTCACTGTCATAGCAAAATTTAGAAATGCATGCAAAATATCTCTGGCAATACAGTTTGGCTTCATTCACTGCAAATTTAGTTGACCAGTATTAATCAGCCACTAATAAAGCTGTCTGAATCTGCATAGAATCCATATCAAATTCCAGGCTGGCAGAAAAAACCACAACACTAATTTGCAAGGAAAGTAGCAGTTTGAATCATTAAACAAAATTAAAACTGTCCATGCTCAGAAAACCATTATGCTAAGTCACCCAGGATAGGCATCAATAATGATGGCTTTTCCTAAGGCACAAACAATTGTCAACAGAAGTTGATACCAGCTCAACTTAGCCTATATGACAGAACCATTAAAATAATTTTTTAAACAGTTTACAGGCATTCCATATATAAGTGTCAATCAGAAAATATTATCTGGAAGTGTGTTTAAGAATGGCAAAAATTTGTTAACCAGACTATGGAAAAAAGGTGCTTTTATATCCATTTGTTTTAGTACAGTTTTTATAAACATCTTTTTGAAATGTCTTTATTTTAAATTATAGCCAAACCTCAGAAATATGACTTCCATCAGTTGGATGAAAATTTGGCAGTACTTTTCATTTCTCAGGATATATTAAACATTAGGATTTGTACTGCTGAGATCAAATGTTCTTACAAGCTACAAGATGAAGTATCTCAGATACTCTGAGACGTTACCAGCAAGTGACTTTTCTTGGTGGAGTAGCAGGAAGTCAGGCTGCTGTCTCCATGGAAGATGCTCCTGCTCAACTGCCACCAGCTCCCAAAGTGCCTTCCTCCAGCACTCCCTGAGAGCTGCAGCTGTCACCTTTCTTGGAAAGCCGCTTTGAGCAGCTCAAAGGCACAGGACCTACATAAGTGGTCAAGAGTGTTAATTGATCTGGCTGGGGGACAAGGGGAGCAGGTTGAGTAGGCTTTGGGTTTCTGCATTTGCAAAGGAAGGTTGCAGACACGTGGCTCTGGCTGGCTGATCTCCTGCGGTGTTCTGGAATGGAGCTGCATGCTCATGCAAGCTGCAGAGCAAGGCAGAAATCTACTGCAACTACCACCTTGTATGGATTGCCACATATCAGTGCTGCCAGAGTTTGTATTTCAGCTTTTCAATGTGCACAATATGGTTTTCAAGAAAGCCCTGCGTCTACTTACAGGGACAAACTCTGATGAGATGTCACCTCATCAACTTCTTGGACCAGCAACAGAAGCCAGTAACTTTAAGACAGTGGTTTTAAGTGCCAAAACTGCTCTCACATTCCAGGGTCCCTGAATATCTGAAACATTTTTGGAAAGCCAAGTCCCAGGCTTTCCTGCTGTTCCCCATTCTGTGTACTGTTTGATCAAATCTATCATATTTTGCTTAAGAGTAAACCATGCACAATACAAAACACTGACACAAATTATAGGCAAAATAAATATTTTATTGGTTTAATATACAGTTTTTTAAAGAAATCAGCCCTTGTGTGTCTTCCTAACACAATTTAAAATTTTATAAACTTTTTCATATAATATTGTAATATTTGAAACTATTTTTGATTAAAGACCTTGACATACTGTGAAGAGTTTTAGTAGATGGAAAAGGCAAAGGAGTAAAGAGAGTTCACGCACAGCCAAAAGGAATATTACATATCCACTGAATGTCTATTTGACCACATAAAAACTCCAATGACTTCCAATTTTCTCCATTGGAACACTCAGATATTCACCAGGCTGACTGAAAATACACTCTGTGAGGGATGGAGAAGGAAAAGAGATTTTTTCCATTTTCCCCATAATATAAGCAAGGTCATTCGTGCATTCCAAGTTGCAAATCCTAATTGCTTTCAGAAGATAGCATTTTTATTGCATTTTGGTTAATATGAAGCAGAACTTCCTTCTCTTGGTATGACTGCAAGTAGTCAACACCAAAAAAAACAACAACACCCCAGTGCTTAAATAAGGCACTTTCCTATAAAGGGATGAGCAAACAGCAAGGAAGCAAATAAAATTAGTTAAAAGTTGTCTTCTACACAAAGATAAGGCTTTCAGTGTCAGAACTTTAAGTAGTTTTAAGAGTAACCTCATGTCATTCTACCACTTTGCTAATAGTAACCACCTCAAGAATTAACAGCAATTTGTGTAACAGGGTTGTTTCTTTCTTTTGAAGTGGCACTAAGTAACAGCAGTGGAAACCATTATTGGTTATTTCAAGCTCATAAAGTGGATCAGTTATTGCACAATAAATACCTCATAGAGGTCAGTGTTTTGGGAGGGGTTGTTGTGGGTTTTTTCTATTTTTTTTAAAAAAAGCTAGGCTGAATGTGTACATGTTATTTATAAATTGGTTATGTGTGGAAATCTTCAAGTTTCATGATGCATCATTAGACAAAGAAATTAGCTACATAAAAATTTACAACAGGGACATACAAATAAATACAAAACCTTTCAGAGTGACACAATTTTGCTGATGCTTTAAGGAAAGTAATGTTAAAGTGTCTAAGTCCTTACAGATGAACTCAAGGAAAGGTCCACATCGGAGAACCCAGCGCCAAACACAGTAGCCCATCTCAGCAGCTTTAACACTTCCTGAAGCAAAACCAACTTGGCACTTCCACCACTGGGTGCTGCCCAGAGCAGAATCCCACAGCACTTCCAACTACATCCAACCTTAGGAAAAAAAAAAGGAAGATGAAGACCTAAGTCAGATTTTTGGAAGTCTGTTTGTTATGTTTAAGTATGTATTTTGAAACTATTAACATCTAAGGCAGGCAAACTGCAGAAATCCTCTTGCATGATGCATTCACATAAAGTCATCATAGAGCACACTGAAACTAAAACTCAAGGACCACTCTAAGAAAGCTGACAGTAGAATGGGCCAAACTACAAACCAGCTGACTTTCTAAATCCATCCAGGATTATCAGTATTCTCTGTATTCAATGAACTTCAAATTTGATAACTTACATTTCAAGGAGAAAATGCAAACAAAGCAAGGTCTAAGTTAGCAATGATATTTAACACAATTAAAATAAAAATAAAACTTGGTTCTTGCAGATCCCCAAAGATTACCTGTAGTACCAGTTTCACGGCTGTGTATCTTGTTTTGCAGTTGCAGATCTGCTTTGGGGCGATACAGCTGCTAACAATCCACTTACTATTTCTCTTCTTATTTCACCAACAATAGATTCCTTGATCTGAAAGGGAGTAGCCAAAGTTTAAAGGTCAGTAATTTATATAAACAATGGATAAAACCAAATGATATTGCAGATATGTTTGACACTACCAACATGCACCACTAAAATTCAACTTTCAAAACTGTGACGGGAAAAATCATTAGAAGGATGAAAAAATAACTTTAAGTCATTTTGAAGTTCTTGCAAATTATATAAATGAAAACCAAACTAGTTCTATATTTCCAGATGGCAAATATATTTATGTTTTACCTGGTTTTATGCTAAGAAAAGAATACATTTCAACTATGCAAAGTTCTGAAGAAAAACATTTTAGGATATATAGATCAAAAGCATCCCAAATGCACTATTTTTTGACAAGCTGTTATTCTCTTGAAAAGGAAGGATTGATCTCTCTCACAAATGGATTACACAGTAGAACAGGTCCAAGTCCATGAGCATGAGGTGTTGCTTTCAAATAATTGAAAAGGAGACAAATAATAATTGCATACTTTCAGCAGGAAAGACAAAGAATTTCAGCAGTTGCTCACATCATCAATGGGCCACAGGGGTTTAATCTATGCCAGTGAAGGCTATTTTTCACAGGATTGTGACAAAGCATTTACTCATTAAGTTTTATATAGAACACACCTAAGAGTTTCCAGTAGCAGGCATGTGAATGTGGCTGAGGCTACAACAAAAAAGAGCAGAGCACTGACTGCTACAGTAAAGAAAACAAAGGAGAAAAGGAGGCAAAACACAGTTCTACAAGAGCATATTAAAAAAGAGCAGGGAATGACAAAGAAAAACAGTGTAGGCTTCTTGCAATTACAAGAAATCTTTGGCACCAACTTATTTTTTTGGATGGTCTTCAGGAGGGACAACACAGTTCCAAGGACAGAAGAGGACAGCAAATGTGAGAAGAAGCAGGGGGGTAAGAGCCAGAGTCTGGCCTAAGGTCACACAGAAGCACTCAGCATCCCAGTTAAGCAATACATTTTTCTTTTTCATGTTAGTCTCCCCTTTTCCTGGTGCGTCAAAAGGATTAAGCAACAACGTCAGAAGGGTGGCAGCAGCATTAGCAGCAGGTTATTTATCCCTTGTTCTCTTTGGCAGGCAATTCAATCCCTAAACCATTAATGTGGCAAAGTTCCTCATTTCATTACTACTTTGCATCAAGCAGAAATTCAGACTGCCTTGACTACGATATTGTTGGGAAATGGGTTCCAGTTGGGTTGTTTGCTGATTAACAGACAAAAGAAAAGCCACTGTGCAATAGAGCCTGTTTCACCAACAGCTGAAAGCCCAGAGGATGTCTATGCTGATGCACACACTGATGTACAAAGCTTTAGAACCACTGTCAGCACAGTAAGGGCTTTGGAATTTACAAATGTAGGCACAGGGAAACGCGCACACAGCACCCCAACTGTCCAGTAGGCATAAGAGAGCCCCCAGTGCTCTCTCTGCCTTTCTTCTTCAGAATCTCATGGGGTGGGTCTGAGTATGCTACAGAACAGTCATTTTGTACCCTTCTCTCAACAGACAGACAAAAATAAACCTCACTTTCCAAAAAAAGCTCAGAAAAGCTTCCCAAATTAGCAAGTAAATGATCTAGTACGACAGACAGTCTTGTAAAAAAGTAGAGACTGGAAGCAAAGCAGCTCCTGTTCTATTCTCAGCTCTTCCAACAGCTTCTGGCTTGACCTTGATTATTTGAGCCCTCTGCTTCTCACCTTCCTGTCTGGACGACAACAAGGCCACCCTCCACTGCCTCTTTTCACAGGCTCTGCTTCCTCCCCCTCCAGACTCAGCAAGGTCACTCCAGTGTGGTGAGCCAGCACCGGCTCCTGCAGTGACTCAGTACCGCGCGTGTGTCGTGACCAATGGCCAATATTTGCCTTTTTCATCATAAATTAGTTAGGGCAAGGTGCACCTTCTATTTGCTCTGCAGAGGGCACAGCCCCCTGCCAAGGCTTCCTCTGTACAGAAGACAGAAAAGCAGTCAATGAATGCTCCATCAATTACTTTTTAGCAAGGGAATGAAAAATTGATCATTTGAAAAATGAGAAAACCACTCATTTATGCTACATTTACTACACTGATACAACACCAACACAATATTGCATTGAAAACACAGTATCACTCCCATTTTAACAACAGTAAACCAATGACCTCTCCTCCTAGAAAAGAATTACCATTACTGCAGTATTATGCTGCTGCTAAAGAACTGATTGAGAGTGAAGTGCACCACGTATGGCAAATCTGGAGATAGGTGTTCTTCACCAAACAACAAGAAATGGGAACAAGGCTTTTCACAGTGCTTATACTTCTGATCTTGAAGTAAAGAATTGCTTCCTACTCTGTTTTCTTCCCATGACACTTCTTCATGGCAGCAGCTGGTGAGATTTTATGCTCAAGATAATAAGATGAGGAATCCCAACACCTGCACACATCAACAACCTACAGACATTTTGAGGGATGTTGAGCTAACATGGATTTGAATGGAAAATGGAAAAGGGATGATTCTCTGCCAGATCATCTCTGTCCCATTAAGACTCATTACAGCCTCTTAAAGCAGATGATGACAGGAAAATCTTACATATCCTTAAAGTGTAGCTTCATTAAGTGTAATTTATAATGAAGAACTGTTAGCAAAATCAGAATTTCCACTGCTTATATGCAGAAAGATCTTTAAACTAGCACATCTCTTAAACTGGAGAAGAGCAGAATGAGAGGGCCTGGTGGCCCTCCTAGTGACCCTGTGACTTACACAAGTCAAGCAGTAAGTACTTCATGTGATAATCCTGTGGAGGCCAGGCTGCATTTCATCATTTGCTATTTTAACGCTTCATGTTGCTGAATGTTTTTCCGAGGGAGTTAGTCCATCCATTAATGCCAAAAGTTAACACCGTGGGTTTTTTTCACAGAACAAATAGTTACAGGTCAAAGTTCACATGCATTACAGCCCACCCAGGCATATCACACCCACTGCCTGGCTTCTCCCTCCCCTAAACACAAGGTCAGCTGCAGAGAATGGGAGGAATGAACAAGGGTTTAATATTTCTGAGTGCATACATCAAGAATGCATCCTACCAGATTTCTTTCTTTTGACAATGAAACTGGAATTCCTTTGCTAACAACAGGGCTATTTAAGCAAGGCATCATTTCAGTTTATGCTCTGTTTTAACTCTTAGGAAATAATAAAGATTTTCCTGATATGTGTTTAATAGCATGCTCTGGCTCTGCAAAATCCACCAAGTGCTGTGAGTCAATGCATCTCCACTCTGACCTGCAAAACTCCTCATGCGGAGAATCTTGAGTTGATCCAGAACCCACTACCAATGAAGTTAAACTGAGGGACAATCTTTCTGTGTGCTCAAATATTCACAAAGTGAGTCAAGCTCTGTTGTTTGCTGACTACTCATCTTTGAATAGTAGCCTCTCAGTTCAATGTGGATTCTTTCAGCATTACAATGTCCTCAGTGCCACACAACCCAAATAACAATCTCTGTGCAAAGAGTACACAACTTTATTTGCTGTCAACTAATGAAGCTAAAGAGGAACTTTCACAGAGGCTAACCTCAGAAAAAAATATTGACTGAAATAATCCTGTCCTTTGACTTCAGCTCACTGTTTTTTTGTCTAAGTTGCTTTTGCAGTATTTTTGAATTACAGCTCTCCTTCCTATCTCAGTTTCTCCTTTAGCAACCTTCCACCATGATACCACTGACATGTGGATTTTTACAGACAGCCTGGATACACAGACCATCTTGGTTTCGTTGCAGAATCAGAAGCACAGTGCAAGGTGTGCTAAATATCTCATGTACCACTCTTCTGATGAGTGGCATGCATCTCATCCATTTCACAGACAAAGATAAGGTAAAGCTGCTTCCAATTATCCACAGCTTCAACACACACAGACCTGGAAAGTACCATGGCATTACAGCCTGGTCTGTTGTACATTTTTAAGCATGGCATCTTACCTAGTCCTCAGTGGTCTATGGCAGAGCCATACAAAAGCTTCAAGAGACAAGCTAAAGGCTAAGTGGACCTTCTCTTGTGAAGAAGAGGGAATAAAATCTACAAGTTCTCGATTCCCATTTCTGTATTCAGAGCAAAGTTTGCTCCACTTTTTCACAGGCACTTCATTTCAGAACAAGTAGTTTCTTTGGCTTCCTTTCTCCATTTATACTGCTTGCCAGAGAGCTTTTCTGTCATGCCACTAACAAAACACATAGTTTTAGCTGTGTTTCTTAACTTGGCCCACAGGAAAAATAACCAAGCACTCCTCACTTTCATTGATTGCCAATAAAACTAGTCCAGTACAATTGGTCCAAAATCACTCAAACTCTGAAATAACTTCCCACCTGCCTTCAGCTTGTTTTATTTACATTCCTATAGTCCTTAGTGGTTGGGGTAGAGGGACTAGAAAGTAGGCTTAGCATTTACTACAGCGTTGTTTCAGAAACATTATTTCACCACTCAATGAACTCCAGTTTGGCATTTTAACAAGCAAACATGACAGAAATTTTCACTTGGGAATCAAAAATACTACTGCTTAACCAAGTAGTAGAGACAGCAAATTCTTTCCCAGCCATACTTAGCTATTAATTTACATGCCAACCACTATCACTGAAAAAAAGTCCACTGCTTTGCACATAAACAGAGCTGAGGCTCCAACACCTAGTGACATGTTCTGAGCTTTCAGACACAGCACAGGAACAGGATGGAGCCTTGGCTGGAGAGGGAAGAGAAAACCTTGATGGATAGGAGTTACAACCAGCCTTGCCTTTAGGTTTCAGGAAACTCAGTTCAAACATCCCAGATCTCAGCCCCTCCTTCCTCACCTCCCGTATGACTTGCTGTAGCTCCTCCTGCTCCACTGCTTTGTGGATTTCATCAGCTGAAGGCATGAGAGGGATTTTTTCAAGTTTGTGCTCCACCTCTGGCTTGGAGTCTGCAAGCTCCTCAGAGCTTTCCACTGGCTGTCCAGCGCCTGCTCTCAGGGGGGGAGTTGGTGTTAAGGCAACAGAGGCTCGGTACAACTTCTTGCTTTGACTCCTGGCTCTTCTACCTGTGTGACCAGAGCACACTGAAGAGGAATCCGAGTTTCCATGGGAGAATACCGACTCTGCACCCTCTGCTGGGAGAGTTTCCAGTCCAAGCTCTCCCAGTCCTAAACCCAGTTCAGACTTCAGAAATGACTGCTCTCGAATAAGCTCAGAGACCTAAGGATTCAGAAAAGAAACAGTCCTGAATAAGCAAACAAAAAAGTCACATAACTGTGTTTTCTTGCTATTTATGTAATCGCTTACTCATTCCCTCCATGTAACAAATACAGCTATAGAATAAATATATCCTTTGCCTTTATTACTGCAACAAAGAGAATCATGAAAAGGAATGTGCCTTTTTTAAAGCCAACATAAATAAAAATTGTGGCTCTTCCCCAAGCCACCGACTTTTGCAACACGTATACATCTTGCCAGAGCCATTGACAGGCACACACGTAAGGGCTTGATTTTCATTTGTTTGCTCTTCCCTCTCTTTTTGAACTACTTATTTTCAGTAGCAGAAAATGTGCAGAAATATAAAAAAATAATGTTCCCTACAAAATTAATGAGGTAGTACCACCATTTGTATCAACTAGATGAAAAAATATCTTGCGTCTACATATTCCTCTTAAAAGCTAACAAGACTCTACAGGCACTTCGACCTACAGCTAAATCTGCTTAAGGAAAATTGCATCAACAAAGCTATTTAAGGGAGTTAAAGTATTTCTAGAATTATGTGTCAATTTAATCTCCTGCAACCTATTTTAAAGTAAAGTCTTCCTGGTTCTTTTCATCTGAAAAACACAGAGTAAACACTTACTGGTTCAATGACGTTCAGTGGAGAAGGACATGACAGATTATCAGCACTTCTGCTTCCATACATACCCTGAAAAATTAAGTTAAGTTAATGCACTTAGGAATTTCTTAGAGCTCTCAGAAGCTAGTATATAAACATGCTGTATGTCAGAAAACTTTCTGTAAAACCAGAAAGTTGGAAACCGGAAGTGGAACTGGTTGGAGAAAGTTAATTTCAGTCATTTTTAAAGCTGGCCCTCTTCTATAAAAGGATTTACAAATAAAAAGTTATTTATACGGTTCAAAGAATGCAAGTTTGGCTTGAGATCACAGTAATACCATATTTTCCTGTTCTTGGGTTTCAGTGTTTTTCCCCATGACAAAATACTGAAGAGGAAGATGTGGCCTGTGCTGCTTCTACAGAAGATGACTGGCTAAGAAAGAGAAATGAAACCCAGGAAGAGCATATGACACTTTTTGTCTCTGCTTTTGTGTGGCTGATGGCAGAACTGCAGCACAAAAAGAGAGGAACAGTCCTTCGCTGAGAGGAAAAGAAGAGAAAGTATATTGCCATGCCACCAATAAACACAGACAAAGCCTCTTCTCCCCCTTCTTGCACTTTTGGGGAGCGTTTGTGGGAGCAGAGCTTCGCCCACTGTTTGTCAGGCAGCCATGTCTTCATCTGAAGGAGCGACAAAAGGCAACAGAGGAAAAAACTCATGACAATGGGATTTTCCCCTTTTTTTTGTTTTGTTTTTTTGCGTGTGTGGGGTTGGTTTTTTTTTGGTATGGGGTTTTTTTGTTGTTGTTGTTTTTGTTTTGGTTTTTTGCTTTTGTTTTTGTTCCCAAGGATTGGCAGAGCTAGAGAGAAATCACAGTCTGTTTCTTGGGAGAGAAACACTGTGAATGTCTCATCTCTCTGCCCTCATCTCTCAAGAAAATCAGTGTAGAACTCCAGAAAGCCCATCACCATGCTCCAAGGATTTTAGACATAAGCCCTAGCTACCAAAACTGTGAAAATTCAGGGTCATGAAGAGGAAAAAGAAAGCACTAACAGAAGAGGTCTGTCTTTCTCAGCGCTAAAACCCCCCAAGGTATGTATTGATATGTATGAACACCAAGAAAGTCACACAATTTTTCCCCAAGGTGAAACAGTGACTGAAAATGAGAAAATATGATCCCTGATACACATGGCATCATTAGATTCCATCCCATTCTAAGAGTTATAACAGTTATGAGTTATTATTTGTCCCTGCTCACTGCAGGTTGGACTAGATGATCTTTAAAGGTCCCTTCCAACCCAAACTATTCTACACTTCTCTAATGAACATTATTTTGAGAAAAAAACATGATGCTGTTGCAAAACTAATATTTACTATGTGTGCCTGAGGTCTGTAAGGTGAAGACATGTGCAGACTTCTGAGCTGGTCCTCCAAGGCAAGCAGACGTTCTTCCAGCTGCATCTCCAACTCCTGCAGCTCCATGCGGACAGACTTCCTCAGGCTCTGCAGCTGGTCAGCTTCGAATCTACAGCAAGGCCATCAGAGAAAGAACAAAAGCAGTCACTGCACCCAGCTGCAAAGAGGTGACCGAGCAGGACAGTGCCACAAGTAAAGGACTTCATACAAGGGAATTCAAAGCAGGACACAGCAATGTCAGCTGAATGCCTACGTGGCACAGAAGTCTTTTTCCGTTTATAGAAAAGATGTATCAGTCCACAGAAAAAACAAAACCACACTGTGTACCACAGAACAATCTCCAAAACTTTTAGCTTTAAATGCAGAAGAAATCAGTATTTCTACATATATCTAATCAAATTAAATTTAAGGCTGATAAGAACAAGCACCACAGAGTAATGCAGTAATCACATGTTACTTCTCCTGTGTGGTTATAGCTTCCCCAGCACTCAGAGCTACATTTTGGCCAGGAAGCCGCAGTCTAAGGCAGCCAACTGATTTCAAATGTGTTTACTTTTAAAGTGATAGGCCAAGAGCTGATTCAACTAAACTAAATATATAATCAGTTTCAAAAATTGTTCCAGATCTGCTGCTACTACAACTCCTGGCGAGCACAACCACTCGGAGCCAGAATATGAATGCCATCTGTAGCTCACTGAGTAGCCACTGAAGGGTGGAAAAGCATCTGAATGCTACAGTTTTCATTCTTTATTTACATCTATGAAGATGGGAGTGATCTAAAATCAAATCTTTAAGATTTCTTTCCCCTGCAATATCCTATGTTCAAGTATCCTATGATAACAACCCTTAATATCTGCAGCTGTAGAATCACTTTGGAGAAAGGATGCAGAAAAAATAACTAGTGAGAAATAGGGATTGGAAGAGACAAAGAGTAAAAAAATCTAGAATGAAGATGCATAAAGAAAAGAGTAAATGAGATTTTGGCAAAAAAATTCATCTCCATCCCTGTTCAAATTGAAATGAATAGATTTCTTGCTGATCTCAAGAGCAGTAACACATTTTCTGATATGCCAGGGTATTTTCTCTTTGTTTTTTAATAAGGTAATTTTACCTTTCCTCCTCTGTCATGTGCTGATAAACTGTGGTCTGTTGACGCAACATAGTCAATTCCAAATCCATCATTTGGGTTCTGAATAAATTTAGATTTCTCCTCACCACTTGTAGCTCCTGGAAAGTATTCTGGGGAAATAAAAATTTAATCATGAATTACATGGGAAAATGAATTAAAGTAAGTTTGGATCCTGTAGCCACATTTGCCCAGATGAGCCCTTTGAGTTAACAGCACCTCAGCAACTTCAGCACATGATGGAAGCTGCATGTTGTGCCATCACAATGACTCAAGAAAACAACATTTTCAGCTGTATCATACAAGCAAACACATGGAAGTGTATTTAGATTAATTCCTTTCTAACATTATTTGTGGGAAGTTCTCTCTTGAGAACAAAGACAAGCAACTGCCCAAAGTGAGCACAATCTGTGACACATTTAGGATGTTTCCTTGTATTTTATTTTGACTGAGTACCACTCCATAAACAGGGTGACTTACCTCGTAGAGAGGTAGAATGGATGATTTCTGAGTAGTGTAACCAGTGGCAGCTGAAAAATCCTGTCCCCTCATCACTGGGTACTAGGGGCAAGAAACAAACAATTTGAAATGGGAAAGGCACCCTCTGGAACACACAGACACTCCAAAAGCAGACCTAAAACACAAACTTTCTGGCATTGAGATTTCTGCAATCCATGGAAATACTGTGTTGCAAAGAGGCAACCTTACAAAATGTCAGGACCACTTCTTAACTGACACATGTGCAACAATTTATGCTTGAAAACTCAGTAGTCTCAATTGTCTCAGCTAATGATAAAAACAACAATTCCAAAACTGTAACTGAGCAAATTAAACTGTGCCCCATTTTGAAATCATGGTTGTAGTCAAATATGTCATGGGATTTTCTTCAGTTCTTAGTTTGGGGAATTTCTGTTCATTTTGGTTTTTAATCTCACTATGTTGCCTTCATCCAAAGACCCCAGCTTGCTAATGATCTCTCACGAAAACAAGATTGAAGAATTTCTATTTGCATGTTGCAGCAACATATGGAGCAAAAAGATAAAATCCAGAGGTTTGTTACATGTAGAGACACAGCACAACAAAGAACAGTGGAAACAGCAAAAATGTTTACCTTCTCAAACATGAAAGACAGCTTGTCCAATATAATTTTGAAAGAATTCAAAGGACTACTGACATGTCATGGAAAATCTGAAGCATGTTCATTCATATAGAGAAGCTTTGCTCCAACATGATCACATCAAAGGGGATGGGTTTATCTTTCCTCTGTCAGCTTTCTCTGTTCCCTGTTCTATCAGCAACTTATCTAGTCCTCCTTATTTCCTCTTAAAATCACAATCATATGTTTTAACATCTCAACTTTTTCTTTAGCCATTGAGTAAGCTATGTGTCAAACTCAATCTCTACTGTAGGAAACCAATCTCTGCTGCGAGAAGAACCAAGCCCCCAAAATGAAACTAATTTAGACAAAATATGCTTGAAAAAGAACAAGTGGGCTAAACATTATTATCCCCTCCAATGTCCTTTTCTCTTTTTTTGGTTTTTTTTTTTTTTTTTTTAGATTTCTTTTTCAGCAGGTTCAGTTAGCATGGTTTGTGTGGTAGAAGTACTGAGCACACTGTAACCTTACACAGATCAAGGCTGCAAGTGGTACACATGAGAGAACTGAAAGAATTGAATTCTCCAGAGAAGGTTAAGTTCTGCAAACACTTTCTCCCAGGAACACCATGAACACCACCTTGAGCAATGGTTGACTTAATACACAGGTATGTGTATCACAGCTTCCTGCTGCAGAGCTGGTCACCAAATCTTGCTCTGAAAAGCAAGGCCAGCTGATAGAACCAAAGGAAGACTGGACTCACCTCTAACTTCTGACAAGTGGCAAAGTCAATAAAATAAGAGGGCCCCAAAAGAGGCCACTACAGCCTCCCACCTGCAATATGGTGCAGGCAGGTGCATGTTTGCTCTTGGGTAAAATGCACGGAAATTTTAGGTCTACAACTGCACAGTATTCACATATTCATACATAAACAAGTAGAGTCTGTAACTACCTTGCCCACACAGCCTCCTGCAGGAGCTTGCAAGATCCTAAGTTGGATCACTACTTAAGAAAACAGCAGAACCAGGATGGCAGCTGGCAATCAGGAGAGGAGGAGCAGAAGGTGTGGCAGAAATTGGTAAAATTTACGTGCTCGCATTCTCAAGCTTTTCTTCTCTGAGTGATGAGATGGATAAAATTTCACATGCTCTGACAAAATCAATTCTTAATAAAAGACTGATGGTATCAAGAACATGTTGGCTAGCACCAGAGTTGCAAGTGGAAAAGATTGGCATGAAACAGTACAGAAACACACGGAGATCAATCACTGACATCATTATTGAAGTTTTGCGACTATAAGGAAAAACATGCACTTTTAACAGCTGGATGAGAAGTATGTCAAAGAGAAGAGAAATCAAAGGATTGACCAGACTATTCTGTGATTCTATAAATATGCATTTTTAAATCTAAATCTAATGATTCTCATCTTAAAATAAAATAATAGCTGATAAAGAGTATGCTGTTCCTCCCTCCCATCCAAGAATATCCATAAAAACTAAAAAATAAAAAATACTAGAAAAAAACCACTCTGGATCAACTGGAACAAGAAAATATTGAATGCAAAAAAGTGGAGCATTGAAAAGATGATTACAGAATCACAGAACATATTGATTGGAAGGGACCCACAAGGGTCTTCAAAGTCCAACTCCTGGCCCTGCACAGGACAGCTGCAAGAGTGATCCCATGTGCCTGAGAGCATTGCCCAAATGCTTCCTGAACTCCACCAGGCTTGGTGCTGTGACTTCTGTGGGGAGTCTGTTCCAGTGACCAACCACTCTCTGGGTGGAAAACTTTTTTCTAATATCTAACCTAAAACTCCCATCTTTGAACACTTCAAATTTGCCTGTTTAAACAAAAGCTCCGAAAACAGTAGCAAATCAGACTTGGACAAAATATCATTTTTTTCCTGATCCGCTGAACTACACAAAGGAATACTCAGGTTATCACCTTGGTTTGGTAAGGATAAAATAAGGAGCCCCTTTGTCCAGGGGCAAAGCCAGGCTTCCTCTTACCTGTGAGAGGTTCTGCAGAGAGTTTCTGATGTCATGGAGGACCCTGCGGAGCTGCATCTCCACAGTGGAGGGTGGGTTCATGGCAGGAGGACGATGAGGAACTCCATGCCTTGGAAAGAAGGGGCAGCTGAAGGGGGAAAGCATGGCACTGAAGGAAGAGCCAGAGATGCTTGGGATGCTGTGGGTGCTGAGCGTCCTCATGTGCTCGCACAGCGGCCGGTCCTGCCACTCCGTGGGGAGGGAATGGAGAGAGCACGTGGAGCGGGACATGGCTGCTGGCATGTGCAGGGGGCAGCTCTGTACCCTGGTGGGACTGAGATCCTCAGACAGCCTGCTGGGCCCTGCCTGGGGCACCTCTTTCTTGGAGGATGAAGGCGCAATAAACAGTGTGGATTTGCACACAGGATGGCCGGAGGCTGCCTCCTCCTCACTTCTGTCATTCTCAGATGATGCTTCCTTGTCTTCCTCCACCTGTGTGTACTTGTAGGTGAAGGAAGGAGGACTGCAGAGAGTCTCTTTTCCTGGAGATAACTGAACATTCACAGAGGACACCACTTTCACTGGATTCAGCAATGCAGTTGGGAGAGACTGAGACCGCCTTAGAGGATAGCCCGATTCAGCAAACCAGAGTCTCTGCTTCCTCAGAAGATCTTTTGACTTAAGCAGAGTGCACCTGGCCTTGGAGTCAGGTGAGTTGATGATCCTCATCTCAGCTCTTTGCAAGGCAACCTGAACTCTGTCCACAGATGATGTGGAGGAACCATCACCTTCCAGAGACTGCATCGACTTGAGGATATGGTGTGTGTGATACTGAGGAAACTCAAACACGCTGCCTTCCTCCAGCAGGTCTGATTCTTTGTGCTCACTGGAAATGTCTTCCTCTTTGGAGCTGACCTCTCCTTGGACTGTCTCTGATATATGAGATGACTTGCTTTCTTGTCCTTGATTTTGTTCAGTTTTACAGTCACTAATTTTTCTGTCTTCACTCCTTCTGCTATCAGAAGATTTTCGTCTCTCTACTTGAGAGATAATATCCTCTTCATCATCATCATAATCCTCCTCCTCATCATCTTCCTCCTCCTCCTCCTCAAACTTATCAAAACAGGGCAGTTCCTTGGTTATCGGTGTCTTCTGTTCCTCACTGTGCGATGTCACAGTTGTTTCACTGTCACAGCTGTCAGCACTGCTTCCCATGCCCTGCAAAGACTCCTGAACCTAGGAAAGATATGAGACAGCAAAGGAGTGAATGTACTGGACACTCAACTACTGCCTTCTCAAGAGTCAGGCCAAGAGTCCAAGAACACCTTCACAGGGCATTGGGGTGGGGAGCAGAAAGAATAATGCACTTAGTGTGCAAGAGAAATGATGAAGGAGAACAAAGAAACTGTAGTATCAGATACATTGGGAGTACAATGAAGCATGGCACCAAAAGGAGGTTTTTATTTTTCTAAAGAGAAAATTCTCCACACATTCCTTTGATTTGACAATAAATTCAATAATGTAAGAAGAATAGAAGTGGCAAAAGAGTAAGAGCAAGAAGAATATAATACTAGTATTTTAGGTGGTGATGACAAACAGCTGGGTCATGGAACAAAGCATTTCCCATTTATAAAGGTTTACAACAGTGAAATGAAGGGTAGCATTAGGAAATGTATACAGAGAAGCGAGGAGAACTACAGACTGTAGTGAAACTGTGTTACAGGACAACACCAAGAATGGGAAAGCCAGTCTGCCCATAAACTAAGCCTGTTTAAATAAAGAATCCTTGAAGACTGAGAATATCACATCAGGATGTTAATCTCAGTTGGAGACCACATCTGGTACTATTAGCCCATCCCTCCTTTCTCCTGAATCTTCTTCCCCTATTTATTTCATTCTAAATAACAATTTAAACCAGAGTACATAGACGAGGGAGTTGCTAATTTAATGAGTAACAAATGGCAGGAAAAACATTTAGGAGAAAGGAAAAAAGAAGAGAGCTATTCATTGTAAAGCACATTCTTGAAGCTGGGCTGACTGACTGCTGTATTTACAAGTGCACAAGACATTTCCCTAAGAGTATGTGGTATAAAGTACACTCTTGGAAATTTACCATAGTTGATGCATGAACTAGAAATTTTCCTGTCTCTACTTTCTGCAGTTCTTGCTGCCATTAGGATATTAATTATTAGTTCCTTCTAAAGAGATTATGTTTTTCAGGCAATAGTTCCTTCTCCAACCATCTAGAAGATTTCAGCCATGAATGTCATCTTCACAAGTACATATCTAACATTGCACTCACTGGCACAGCCACAAATTATTGTGAAAGAATGTGCACATTCAGATGGTTTTCAAGTTAAAGGTACTAAATGAGCAAAAGATTATAATGTTTAGGTGAAATCATATGGGCTACATGTGTGTCTATCTGTGTCCTAATCCTCCATCACATTGTTCAATTATGAGTAAAGCATAAGAACTTGGATGGAGAATTCTGGCTTTGCTGACACAAAACGCCTCTGCAGAATACCCTATCTCAATATCAAAATCTCCCTCAATTAAGGAAGTCAGAGATGAAAGGCAATATGGGTTAAATTTTGAGTTCTCTCCTGAGTTTCAGAGGAAGGCTATGGGTGCTAGAGTCAATAATTTAACAGTAGATGGCACTAAATTACCATACTTTTAAGAAACAATATATACTCCTCTGTATCCCCTTCATTTTTTCACAGGCTCTCTTCACCAGCTGCCAAGTTCTCATTTCCCCTAGCTGCATCATTCACCCATATTTTCTGAATTCAGCTCAGCACTTGGTCAGAATTAAGGATTGAAGGGGGTAGAGGAGAGCCTAGCAACTCCATGGCACAAACCTCATGCAGCCTCAAAATACCTTTTCAAAACAGCAGAACAGAAAACAGAAATCTCTTCCCTTTAGTGCCAACACAGATAAACTCCAGCAATATTCCAGTGAAAGGGTGCTTAGCTGCAACATACTTTTAGTGGGCTCTTAATCAGGTTGTAACCAACATAAAAATCAGGCGTGACCAACTCTCCTCTGAGTCACCTTCTAACATGCCTGTCAACTTCAGTGCACTCACAGGTCTGTAGAGAGCTGAACAAATATGTCAGATGATCATGCTCTTTGCAGGAACTCAGGATCATTTTTCCCTTTACTCATTATTACTCCTTTTCTTGCTCTTGAAAAGCACTAAGCTGATGTTTAAGGGAGACAAAGACCAACACTATCATGGCTTTTATTTTGGCACTCAGTTGAAGAACTACTAAATCGGAAAACCCAGAATTCCAGTACCAAAATGAAAAAGCAACATTGATGGGTGAAGAGGGTAAAAAACTCTTCCTAGTAACTGCCAAACAGCTTTTAAAGTGCTTGGTGTACCACAAGGGAGAAACACATGGTAGCATAAGAAACAAGTCAGCAGATAGAAGCTATAGAGATGAAGATACCCAGAATCCGATTTATTCCTTTGGGCTGTGGTCTAGGTCTCAGGAATAGCTGGCCTTGAGAGCAGGATCCAGCCCAAGGCCTTTCACTGGCTGACTGACAGGCCAATCAAATCATGGCTATTATGGTGTGAATGTTTTAGGAGAACCAGGAGAACAGCTCTCCAAAATATCAGATACAATGCAGTCAAGCATGTGTATTGAGCACACACCTAAAGACCAGGCTGGAACAAAAGTTTTTCCTAAGACATGAGGTCTCTCTGGTCAGCATCACAGCAATTTCTGGGACTAAGATCAAAGAAACCAGAACAAGAAAGAGCATGGAAGGTCAAAATCAACTAAAATTAGTCTATCTTCATAGTAAAGCTAGTGTGAAATTGTTTTCGCTTTCTGTCAGTTGGTAATTAAAAAAAAAAGAAAAAAAAAAAGAAAAAATGCAGGGGGCAGGGGGGAGAAGTACATGGGCAGTGGGAAGGCAAAAATGATAAAAACATGAAACAATCACCAGATTAGCTTTAATCCTTCAAGACCTTAATCTCGACCCACTACTGAGAGGAATCAACAGTGAGAAAAGATACACCAGTAACAGCAAACAGAACATACTGAATTTAGACCTTATTCCAGCCCCAAGTATATGCAGATTAACCTACTAAAAAGGCTTTCAAGTCTGAACACACAGACTTGGCAGGTCCAGCTCTGAAAACTATGATTTTATAGACCTAGATTGACAGCCACAGTAGCAGTCAAACACTGTTTCACACTAATCAGAAGTATTTCAACCACAAGATGAGAACCTTACCTGAAGCTGATTGAATGGAGAACAGTCTGTAGAGTCCTCAGCAAAGCCACTGCTGTCAGAGTGCTGACTTGCTGTCCTTAAGAGCTGATCTGTTTGAAACAACCAAAACCCAACTGTAATTACTTTACAAATCACAGCCTTTCAAGACCAATTCCACAGAATTCAAGTTTTCCTTTTACAGCAGAAAACCATGAAATGGGTAATACAATTGCTTTTCAGTTTCCACTTTGAACAAAACAGAGAAACAACTTTTTTGTGTCAAGCAAAATCTCTCTCACCCAAAGCCCTACTTGTGAAACTTCAAGCAACCATTTTTTACATTTTTCTTTCCTGTGCTGTGGAAAAAAAATAACCTCTGCAGATATTGCCCCTGTTGGAGTTCTCCTTTCACAAAACTGCATCACTGATTAATTCACACACAGGCAGTGGAAGAGTTGCTTTTGTGTTGAAAAGTACAGATTTGACACCTCTCCTGATCATGGAGATACTGAAGATCACCCAGAAGGACAGCATCACATGGGCAGAGAGGGCCATGTGGAGGACTCTGCCAGCTGCTGGAGAGGATCCTCCACTGGCTTAGCAGACAAATGCAGAACATCCCTTACACATCAATGGGCAATCTGCCAAAGCACATTCCCAGTGCTCATTTTATACACCAGAGATAAGATCGTCCTGCTTGTTCCTTTCTACTCTCATTAGGTAAGCATTAAAATAGCCTAAAGAGGCTCTAAAACCCTAAGTGCTTCCCAGGAGTGATTTCCCCTGGTGCAAGCACTGCACTCACTAAGCAGCTTTGCAGGGAGATCTCAGCAAGCTCTGCAGCACACTATTGCATGTATATTTTTCCTGACTGGACACAGGAAGCACTCACCGAGTGCAATGTTTACCTTATGGCACCAGAAACATTTTACCCAGCCTGAGGTGGGCAACAACCTTATCTCACCTTTAGATCTCAGCAGAAGCATAAAATCTTGGAGATGGGAACTACAGTAGCCTGCCACCTTCTCCTCTGGAGCCTTAGGCAAGAGCTTGCTGCTGTCTCATCAAAGGCTCAATGCAGAATTTTGCCCCAGTTAAATGTAGTCATATAATTAATCCCAGCTCAGAGCTCAATGCATGGCATGCATTATGAAAACTGTTGGATATTCACAACTAATTTTTTTTAGTATTCATTTTGATAAACACTTTACTAACACTAAAATAAGTAAGAGCCTGCACAGCCTGTGAACACCAGTAGAGGCAAACTGCCCACGAAGCTTCTGTATCAGTGATGTCACACAGCTTTTAGGGAGTGCCTTTCAAATTGTGCTGCTGCTGTTATCATAGTAGCCACAATATCCTGCGATGACAAACAACTTTTCTACCTCAAGACAGACATCCCCACCCAACTCCCAGCAAGGACAATGGAAATTACTTCCCTGAGAACTGGATCTTATTAACTGACTAATTCACTTAATACAGCTGAAAGAGCATGCCATGATCAGCTTGCCACTACAGCTGAAGCTGGGGGGAAGCTGTTACCTTCCTCATGGTGAATAGTTATCTAATTTTGTTGCCAGATATTGAGCCTCCTCTGTCTCTTTTCTTATCTGGTGAATTTTAATAGAAGAGGAAAAAAACCCACTACTGGTGAAAGCCTTAGCCTCTCTTAGGGACGAGATCCCAATTAGTTCAGATAAAGCAATTCACCAGTGCATGTGCATGAACTTCATTACTGTTCAATAGAACACTGACCTGCCCTTCTGCTTCCTTCTCAGTCAGTATTTCCTTTTCAGCTATAGAAAGGAAAATTACATCTATATGTTTTCTGAAATCAATTCTTGGGCTTCTCAGAGACACAGTACTGAAGTTAAAATGAGTCTTCCAGATAATCTTCCATAGCACTGGTTATTTATGGACATGCTTTGACAGCCTCACAGGACAGATACCACCAGGCAAAGGATCAGCCAAGAGCAGTCATTCACACTGGCCTCATTTATCCATGGCAAGTGACTGGCACAGTATGAACAGATTCAAACTGCCTTGGTTCAACCTAAGGAGACCTAGTCCCTTTCTACAGGTATCCCTTGCTTTCAGTGCTACAGAGCTGCTAGGATTTTTTAATGTTCTAAAGCGAATCAGAAAAGATGTTTTCTGAGTAGTCATCTGCTACCACACCTTACCCTGGTCCTTTGCAAGTTCTCAGGGCTCTCCACAACATCACTATGATGTAAAGGCAGTAAAAAATTATAAAAAGCTGGAATCTCTACTGAATCAGTAGTGAAATGACAAGGTTTGGTTCTGTAAAGACTGGAAATACCAACTAGTGCACTGGGATATACAGATACATAATGATATCCACCCTCTTGACAAGACTGATCCAGCTATGTAGCCTGCTCTACAGCACCTGGATATGTCTCAGATTCAAGCAAACAAGGGGAAAATAGGAACACACTTCAAAAAAAGCCACAGAGTTACATCTGGCTCTTGACAAAAGGTCCTCCTGGCAAAGGAGAATCTTAGGACAAGGAGTTTGTAGTGAGATATGGGTCCCCCTCTCTTCACCTTGAGTGCAGAAAACTCAGCACTAAAGGTTGGTTTTATAGGCTGGGATCATCCCTTGCCCTGTGCAACCCCAGGAAGACAAATATACCTTCTGCAAAAAGGTACCACTGCACAACACTGACTCTGCCACTCAAAGCTACTGTCAACACTACACACAGGAAATCTTCTGAACTACTGGGAGGAGACCAGTGGCAGGATAACAACGAAAGTGTGGAAGAAGGAACCAGCTACAACAAACAAAACCACCAGGAACAATCAAACTCCCATCCCAGTTTAACAGAGCACAAATAAAATGGCTTATTGGATTGTTGTTCTAAACTATATATTAAAAAAATATCAAAGTGTATTTGGGCACTGAATATACATTAAGAAAATTGTGTATTCATAAATAATCTAAATAAACAGAAAAAGTTCTAAACAAAGAACACAAGATGAAGAAACAAGTCTGTGGTTTATGAAACATGAGGGCAGATTCAGCAGAGCATCCTTGTCAGGGAAATGATTAGTTCATCTATTGCAACATCATAATGAGCTACCAGTGTCAGTCTCACCTCTTCTGTGTCACTCAACTGCTCACACAGAAGAGGAGAAGAAATATGTGGAAACTGTTCATAAAGTTTTAACATCTTTTTCTTGTACATGCATTATAGGAAAAGTTCAAATGCACTTTGTATTTTATAAGATAATAATTAAATTAACATTCCCAATTTAACTGTGAGGCATTTTATTATAGGATTAAATATCAATTGTCCCTTCTTTACATACTGATCACACCATGCACTAACAAAACCAGCCCAAAAGGAGTCCTGTTGCAAAAACTCTGAGTCCCTGGGAATTTCCTTGCAAAAAATCTGTTCCAGATGTTTTCTTCTCACTCCCCCATCTCCAATCTCCTGTGGGGCTGCACCCACAGAGAGCTATAAATACAATAATATATTAAGGACAGGAAGTGCTGATGATGTGCTTTCTTCCCTTTCAAGGATTAAACTTGCAAAACCAATAACCTTAATGCCTTAAAAGAAACAGGTCTGTGGCTACTCAAAATTTCACAGAGCCATGTTGATGCCAACAACCAGAGATTCATGATTTGCGGTGTCCTGAGAATACTTTTTCCTCTAGGCATTGTACCTGCATTTGTCTTTCTTTTGGGGCATTTTTTTGGAATGGAAGGTGCTGCTGTATGATATATCAATAAGAATTTTGGTTTTGCACTAACAAACCTTTCTACCAGATAACTTTGCAATATGCTTTTTTTATAGTGGACATTCAGCAGTGCTGTGTGTTTGCAAACTAGCTGAAGCTTTTCATTCTTGTGTTTCTAAAACAACTGAGATAAGACACATGCGTTAGTCAGGAGTCTAAACAGCAGTAGACTGTGTTGTTCAACATAATAGTTAACAGTCAGCCAGACTACTTCAGTAAGAAAAGAGAGTATCTTTTTATTTGAATAGTTCACTTCTTATTAAAAGCCCTCTTAATATGCCTTACAAACCGCTGTAAATTTCAGAGAAAGCATCCACAGCCCTCTGTGCAGATGTAAAATGACACTGTAAGGTTTCTAATAACCTGTACCAAAGAACACCAACCCTACTAACTGACAAAGAAATACCACCACATAGAAAAAGAGGTACAGAAGTATTCCTTCAGGGAAGTATTCATCTGGAACAAATCTTTATGCGTGCTTATGCACCACAGAGAAAAAGCCACTGGAAAAGGTGGGTTTGTATAAGGATTGTCAACTGAAATCACACTGCAACAGAGGACCTGTGGTTGAATTTCATGCTGATCCCACCTCATGAGATTGCTAGCGAGAGTGGAATTTCACATTCAGACAACGGCCAGAATGTTTAGTAAGTGACCACTAACTTTGTATGCCTTCTAAGTTTGTGAACATCCCCCCCTCTGAGAAAGCAGGCTGAAAGGCCTCCATGTTGTCTCATGTTGGACAACTTGCAAAAAGAAAAGTCGGCTACAGTTTTTCTACCTTTTGGGTTAGTTCTCCATCAACGTTCGCCCTCTTGGCAACTTGACTGAAACCTACACAGAACAAAGTCCTACGTGTTTTGCGTCTCCCAGGTGAAATAAAATGCTGGTCTCAGACTAACTTTTAGTGAATGTTCAGGTATTGATATCCTTGTCAGATAAGTCATAGAAAATTCTAGGCAATGCCTGCCTGTTAATAAAGTGTCACCACTAATCTGTGTGAAGTGTATTCAGAAATAAGAGAGACATAGTGCCTGGGAAACATGAGCTGGCCTACTTCAGTCACACTGAAGTCCCACTGCTAGAACTGTTGGTAGCTTTCAGCAAGTACACACAGGACCATCTCACTTTTCTTTCTTGTGTGGTGGAAGAAGAGCGTAAAATAACTACTGGGAGGAGAAAAGATGAAAAAAATTATTTTGTCTCCTCCCTGACTGCAGCTCCTGGTTCCTTAACTCAGTTTTCTCTGAAAAGCTCTCCCTGAAGCTGGAGAGGCCGGCGAACAGGAGAGCCCTGCCCTATAAAGACTGCACCTCTTTTCATGTAGTCATGTAAAGCAGGTGGAGGAAAGAGGAAGCATGTAAGGAGGAAGTACTAGGAACAGTCAAAGATTCAGTTTCTGGCAATCCTTAGTGGCCTATGTTTGTACCAGAGGAAGCTTAGTGAGCACCAGGCTGTGCTGTGCAGAACACTGATGAACAAGTAGCACAAGCTATCACCACTAACCAGGCACTACTCTCCAGGGCACTCTCAACCACGTTCATGCAATTCAGCTGACAGGTCACACAACTGTCAATTCATTTGTGCAAATGCAAATAAGATGATCTGTGTTTCTTTAGAGAGGTTTTTCTGCCTCTCTTAAGTATCTAGAGATGCTATTCATGTTTCACCAAGAAGTTGCACGCATCTAAGCACCTCCCTAAGTGCAACAAGCTCTAGTTCCTCTTTAATTAAATGTATCAGCTAGAGAATGACCTTCACTTGCCCACACTGGGCAAAGTAACAATCACAAAATAAACGTAAAAATCAGCTTTATCCCCCTCCAAGCCATAAAACACATAAATAATAATTTGAGATGAAAGCACAAACTAAGTGAACCACAACAGGCAGTGCACAGCATTCTCCTTGTGAGGGACTACAGTTTCCACGTGGGTGTAGAGACATTAGTTTTCTGAGCAGGCAGCCTGCAGACAGAGCAGTAGTGCATAGGAAAAAGCTGCATGTATCATGCAATTTAGGTTTAAAACAATATAATTTCAGTTTAAATGGGTATCTTAAATTACAGGATCTACTAAGGAAAAAAAAATCCCACACAATCTGAATTAACATTTCAGGCCATCTGAACTACCATCAATTACACAAGAGTGAAAACAGCCAGTGAGGTTATAGGGCTGTTGTCTTGCCTGTAATTTGGTTGCCACTTTGTAGTAATGTTCTGTGATTTAGCTTAAAAAGAAACCCAGATCCTTTTTATTTCTAGAGAGAAAAAAAACTTTAGAAGCTTAAAATATCTGAATCAGCCTTTCAGATATGGAAGAACACTCAGCAGTCTGCTGTCCTCACAGAAGCTGCAGTCTACTCACCTTTCCTTGACTTGGTCACTGCTAGCTGATGTGTAGCTGAAACGTGAGGTAGATCCCCCTCTGTACTCTGGATCTATCAGGAAGAGGAGATGAATATTTTGTCAGGCCAACTGGAATATATTCCTGTGCTTAGGAATGCCTAAGCTATACACACTGCACACGCACGAGGAGGTTTTGGTGGCTTTTTCCTCCAATTGAACAACCTACACTGGTGGAAGGAGCAAATTGTGATCTCCTTGAACCAACTTTCACCAGGCATTCAGCAATGCTCCTGGAGGAGAACAGTGATCCTTGGGCAGCACCTCCCACACAGGGCACAGACCTCCCCTCTGGCTACCCTCTGCACGCAAAAGACCTGGAAATCACATCCTGTGACAACACAGAGCTCTCAGTTCCTCTTTGAAAAAACACTAAAATTACTGTGTGAAAACACCTCTGACCACCTTTACACTACTGTCTTTTTCCAGTCAGAACTCTTGGCCTTTCATTTGAATTTAAAGAACAAGTACAATACATGTAAAAAATGTATGAGGAGGTCAGCAGTCATGGCCTGTCATCTGCTGCCCTACCAACTATTTCCTACAAGCCACCAAACCTCCAGCAGAAGGACCCAGACCCAGCCAGAACCTACTCCAGACTTCACCATGCCACTACTCATGGAAATAATTGCTATGTCTTCCAGCACAGAAAAGGAAGATAATGTATTCAGATCCATGCACATTTCAACTGGGAAATGTAAAACTACATAAAAATGAATCCTTTCACTCAGTAACTTTGTGAAACACAGTCTTATTAAGGAAGCAGTTCTCAGGCAAATGTTCAAACAATGAAAAGAATATGCCTAAAATCTCAACAGGGAGGTCTTTGTTTGGTTCAAAACCTAGAATATGTTCTCTCTTTTTGCATGTGATCCAGAAAAAATCCCAATGGATCACACACAAGTCTACATGCACAACCCCGCTGTCCAGCTCTCCCCAAACCTTCCCTCTAATGGGCTGCCAGTCCAGTTTCAAAACTATAACACAATGAATTTATCTCAATTTTTTATCAACTTAAAAATGTAAAAATCAAGATACTGATGTTGATAAGCCAAAATTTGTATTTAGCTAAAGAAGAGGTTATATTTGCATTGATCTTATGTGTATAGCAACCATATTTATATTTAGTTACTTTTACACAATAAACTTTACTTTTACACATAAACCTTGTGGCTTCTGTTCTTTTAGGAGATGAAGGCTGCAACAAAGGGGTAAATCCTTATTTCATCCAAGTGCAGGGGAGTCTAGAAGGGGCTCACCATTTAAGATTAGGAAAAAACTAGCTTGGTATTTTTATTTTAACAAAGAACAACAAGTAATCTTACAGACACTTTAATAAAACTGGCCTTCCAGGAAGGTGTCTTGATTCTCTCAAACCTCCCAGTTTCTGATGGCTAAATTTGCAGCCTTCCAAAAGCTAAGGTTCTTCTCATTTAAATACCATCCACCTCCTGTCCTTGGCTGGGAGACAGCATTCCATTCCAACCGTGTCCGCAGCACGGTGCAGCTCCTCAAGCACACAGAAGCTCCTTCTCCCTCCCTCCAGCCAATATTCACGCTGGTAAGTGACCTTCAGCACTGTCATTGGCCACCTCAGGAGTGGGTGTTTGGGGGAAATCCTGTCCTGACTCACTCCCACACTCGCTATCTTCACAGCCACAGACTTCCGAAGGGCACGCAAACCTCCAAGGCATTTGTAAGCCTTGGAAAGAACTTCTTTGATATATCTGTCATCTTTCTTATGCATAAGAATGCACTCCATGCCAAGCTAGGAAAACAGGGGGAGGAGTTACTGTCACTGTTTCTAAGACAGGTTATTGTTCATTACACCCTGCTTAGAGACGCACAAAAATAAAATCCCACTGCCAGGAATTGTTCTAAAATGTCTTCAGCAAAACTCAATCCATCCTTCCCAGGGATCTGTAGCCAGTTGATAAGTATATACTATATTGCATAAACAAAAAATCCACCAAAATCCCATCCCACATCATATGCTGTCTTGCCAAAACAGCTGTGTTTATGCCTGGCATCACTGCACAAAGTGTGCAACCAAAACTCTGCAAACACATCACACTTGAGCAGAATTCAGCAAGCCTTTCCAGCCAGCTTACTCTGAAGGAAAATTCCACATCTCTTTTTAATATAAACACATGTATATACATGTATATAAAATACATTAATTGTTTCAGTTTTGCCCAAGGGTACCAAAAATGGATTTCTCCTCTGAAATATACGGCAAAATGCATTGCTGCTCAGTCCCATCCAATTGTGCCAATGCAAACATTTTTGTAGCTACACAACAAGCTGTATCAAGAAAACTATCTGGCTGAAAACTAAGCCAGGAAAAAGAAATAAATCAAAATACACTGAGTTTCTTTTTCCCCTCTCAATTGGACTAGTCCTTTGTTCTGGTTCAGTAGATGGCCACCAATATGTGGGTAGGACACACTGGAATAAACAAGTGCTAGGAAGCACAAGAGGCTTGATTACCTTTTTTTTGCTTAATGAGTGCCTTCAGCTACAACATTAGATGATCTAGAAGAACTTGTCATGACAATATGACACCAGACACAGTATCTTCTAAATCATCACTTCATCATTCACTGTAAAATTCTGTGGCTTTTCTATTCACTTGCTTTCTTCATTTCACCACTGAAATCACAATATCCTTCATTTTATGTATCTATTTCACATAGACAAAAAACTTAACTGCTGAACTTTTAACAGTCACATTGAAATGTGTCCACAAAAGCATCTACTAATTTAAGAATATTGAGACAGTTCTTACAATTTGAGCATTAAGTCTATGCAAAAATTGCATTCTTGAATCAGTAGGCTGCATGTTTACTAGCCTAATAAACAAATCACTTACAGGAACCTGGGAATTAAAATTCCTTTGGGACAATTTTTCAATATGAAAATGGGTATCTGCATATATGAAGATGTTAAAAGACACCTAGCACAGACTGTGCAATTAAGCCTTGCCAAAAGTCATGTCACAGCGACCTTCAATGTGCTAATTTCCAGAGAACAAATAAATCAGCTTAGAGTAGATTGTAATCAAAACCGAAAGTTGCACAAGACGAGCACCTCACACTACATGAAAGTCCCTCCTCTGTTTCACTGCAACAAAACTCTTGCTTTATTCACGAATTTATCTTTAATAAACATCAATTAATAAACTGAATTTACTTTTGGTAACGGAAGTAATGATTTCTACTTAACAATTTAAGTAAAGTGTAAAAACTAAACACACAAAATTTTGTTGTGTACAAAGCCTAACCTAGATTTACTTACATAAGGAAACCTTCCCAGGAGTTATCCCAGTGATAGCAATTACCTGAATTTGATTTTAAAAAAAAGAATGAGAACTTTCCCAGTGACTTAGGAACAACAGCAGCAGCAGCACCAAGTTACCTTATTAAGAGGATCAATTAGAGCAGCCTGCAACTGCTGAGAAAGCGCAACACTCAGAGAATTTCAAGTATTCCTGGAGAAAACACTGTCAGCTGCACAGGAGGGAACATTCCTGTGCTGGCAGACAGGGAGTTATGTAAACTGTATGCACAAAGAAAGTCATGTATCTTCACCCACCTCCTCCATCTCAAAGGAGTCCTTCTGCTGCAGCATTAGGCTCACGACGGACGGGTTTGCGAGGGGAGCGCAGGGGTCTCTCGCTGGCGATGCTGTGCACAGTCTCTGTGTCAGGACACTGCTCTCAGAGGTGCTGGAGCTGCTGCTGAGGCCTGGAGAGTCCAAAAGCCCAGGTTCTTCGCATGGTCTATCCTGGGCAGTTGCCAGCCTGCCACCCTGCCCGTCTGCTGGAGGCACAGAACCCTCCTGTGCTCCGTCAGCCACAGCAGGGAGGTGCGTGGGTCTCTCTGCTCTTGCAGCCTTTGTCTGACTGCCGGCTATCTCCTCCTTTACAGGAGCCAAAAAAGAGGGACAGTCTTTCTTTTTAGGATATTTTGGCAATTTAGATTCACTTTTTACATCATTCTCCTCACTCCCTACTTCAGCTGGACTTTTCCCTTTTTCAACAGGTGAAGGACTGGAGGAGCTGCTGCCATCAGCTTGCTGTGTGCCACACAGATTGAGTTTTGACAAGGTCTTCATTAACCGACTGGCTGTGTTGCTGCGATTCAAAGGGGGAGGGCTGGATGCTTCTTTGCTGGAAGACACTGAATTCATACTACCAATTTTCTGCAAAGGAGTCCCAGAGACTTGAGAATACAAAGAAGAAAAAGCATTGGCCACAGTAGTAAGCACTTCAATCTGACGAAAACGACCTGCACAGGAATGAAACACAAGGCAAATCTGAAGAGGGAATTTTGATCATAATCTCTGCTCAACCCCACAAACCTACTCCTACTTTTATCAGGTGCCTCTAAGGCTGAATGAACACTTCCTAGACCTGTAAGATGAAAGTCATACCCTACTATGGAAAAAAGGAATCTCTACTAAATGCACAAGAACAGCACGCAAAGTTCTCCCAAATTAAATCAGTGGCATATGTGTGTGACACAAGTTTATTTACAAAATGCTAGAAAGGAAGTGTTACTCACATTGCTCTCTCCAGCTACAACTACAAAAGGACAGCTATGCCCTCATTTCAGCAGCGCTCATTACTGATCCAACAAAGCTCTTGTCCAAGTCCATAGAAATACTGCCCCAGATTTCAACAATGACAAAAATAGGTCACTGCCACCCAGAAAAAAAATCCCACCCAGTGACTGAAGAACACCAGAAACAGAAGGATATTGTTATTTGTTTCAGTGCTCTAAAGCTGCATCGGAAGATGAGAATGACACAAACCAGAAGGCAGCATACCTTAGAGGATGCCCTTTATTTCCCTCCCTCACTAAAATCCTTCCACTCACCCCAAGGAGTACCACCCTGGTGGTCACCTCTTGCCTACTGAAGACTAAGCAAGAGTTTTATTATGAATTCTGAATGGAATGTTGGCCTTTAGGCTGTAACAGAGTTTTGCCAGAGTATTAGATACACACCTCTTTTGGGGTTGTTTACATAGTTAATAAACTCATAAATAAACTGTGCTTCAAAAACATACTTACTTGTTAAAGCAAAACTTGGATTTTCCACTTCCATGCGCTGTATTTGGGCATTCAAAAACACTTTGATATCTATCCCTCTGGCAAACGACGATGAATTAAAAAATCTCGCTGGAATTTTTGAAGCAATATCTGGTTCATCTCTCCCAAACCCAAGGTTATAGAGCACTTCTTCAGGATCTTCCTCATAAAGCTCCAGTAATTCAGAAACACTAGACAAATGAAAGATGTTAACCATCTACATGTCTCCTTTTAAGATCCAGTCCCTTCTATCAAACTACTTACTCAGCCCAGTAGCCACTTTGGTTTATTGAACTTTTGACTCCTACATCTCAGACTAGTTTTGGAAATAATTGTGGAGATCTCTGCATCTAAAATTTTCGTTCCCATTATGAGAGCCATTGGCCTAGACACATCACAGATCCAATCCCATAATTTCTAAAATCAGTCCTATTCTGCAGAGCCCAAATTTTAAAATGCCATTAAAAGTTCTGGAATTTTTAATGTTTAGGTCCATTTGTTAGCATTTACTGAAAACCACAACAAAAGACAAATAGAAGTTTTCCAAGCAACCAAATGAAAATTCCTTTCTAAATGCAGCAAGGCACATAAACAAGCCAAGTCCATGTAACTGAGGAACAGACCTTTTAAGCAGAGTTTTACCTTGAAACAGTCGCGCTGCTTTTTCCAGAGCCGGTGGAGTTCATACTTCTCCCCTTTTGATGGAACTGCAGCCTCCTGTCCTTTGCCAGTACACCATTGCTGTCAACACAAACAGAGAGGACCCCTGTGATAAACCTCTTCTGTTCAGGGACTTAATTCTCTGTCTCACTGGAGAGCTAACCCGCCAGCACAGCCGGATTTCTCTTTTTCCCTTCAGCGTACTCTGGTTTGTATTATCCATGTCATTTATTGAAATACAGAAACAAAAGCAAACCCTGGGCTGCCTCAGTAAAAATGTACATAGACAGTACGACTTTGAAGGCAAATGCGAGCTGAGAAAACAACCCCAGATCTGCCCTTGCTGCCCCACCCTCCCTGTTCCCACCCATCTCCAGTAAGGAAGCCCAGCCTCGGGTGAGCTGTCCTTGCCCTGCCTTTTCCTGCCTCCCCTGGGCTGCTGCCTCCTCCAGCAGTACCACCTCTCCATGCAAGGTCACCCTCTCCACGCCCTGGGTACCCTGCTCCTCCCAGGTGCCACCTGCCCGGAGCTGGCTGGGGAAACTGAAGAGGCTCCCAGGGAAATGAAGCAAGATGAGCCTCAGCCCACACTGCTGGCCAGCCTCTTTCCCAATCCCAAACTATTTCTTCCCTGCATCTGGAGAAGCTGCCTGAGCATTAGGTGGTATCCTGGGTTCAAATATTTCTGGTTAATCTCTCTGAGGAACAAAATGTTCCCCCCCCCAAACAGCCACCAAGAAACCAAAGGTGGCAGAGGATTCACCTAAGAGTGTGTATTTATTTATGGTCCCCAACTCAGAAGGAATAGAGAGGATGCTTTCCGCAGGGGCTGCGCAGTATTCACTGAAGTTTCAGTGGGGTTTTAGTTTCAGCACATTTTATTTAGAAGCTCTAATCATCTCTCCTCTCTCAAAGTCTTTTTTCCCTTTTTTCACATGTGCTGTGACAGGCAAAACTAATTTTCCCTTGAAATTTCTGAAACAGTGAGCAATCAGTGAGGCAAAGAAGGTTAATCATGCTACATTGCAAGATTTGTCATTTCTCTGTTTTCCTCCTGCTACTCCAAAATATATGTCAGGTCTGCTGAAAGAACATAAATTTTTTTTTCTGCACCTTCTAACGGCTCTTTCTGTGTTATCTGGATCACTTTCTTCACTCTCATGTAAACAGACACAAGCAGAAGAGCTTTAGCTCTGTGGTAGCCCCCATGACTTCCACCGCCCATTCTCCCCCCTGCCCTTCAGTATAAATATTCCTCTGAAGTAAACAAACACAAAAAAAGATGTTTACCATGTTTCTGTTTGGGCATCATTCCGTAGTTGATTAGCTGTAGAGAAAGAAAAAGAAGTTATATCCAGATCTCTTCAGAACTACATTTCTCACAACCAGTATGAAGAAGCAGACAGTGAGCATGTTTACCAACAGTCCTGCATAAACCAGATTTTATTTCTTCCATATAAATGATTGTCAAGGGTTTCTAGTATATGGCTAATATAAATGATCTGGTTTATTAAAGCTCTGTTTAAAATTAAATCTCATATGGACACACGTTTACATCCTGTCATTAATCTCATTACTTGAAATTTCAATTGCGATAAGCTGGTAATTGTTATATAAACCATTTATTGCTTTGCAACTGAAGACATGATTACCAGCTGCAGGGCTGTTCCTGGGTGGGAATGGGAGGAGGACAAGCAGGCATGCAAAGATTGCTCCAGGTGAGAAAGGAAAGAATACAAGAAAGGCAGCCCACAGCCAGGTGCAGAGACTATTTGTTCATCTTTCCATCAGCAAAGTGGGGCAGGGCCCTGGCTGTCTGAGCTGGATCAGAGCTCAGTGAAGCCCCCAGCGCTGATGGGGCCAGCAGACATTGATAGGGCAGGAGGGATAGTTGATAGGGCTCAGAGTTGATAACCTCAGGAGAGAGGCTGTCTCCCAGGTACCAAACACCTGGTCACCAGGCTGACAGGGAAGTCAGCACTTTCCACAGCTGGATCATATGGGAATGTCCCAGGCAGCATTATTCTTTCAGAACTGAACTTCGGACTTAAATTATGGGCTCCTCAAAGAGGCAACTCAGCACTAACAACTTGCCCCAGGAGACAGGCAAGGAGCACGTGTCTGTCATAGCAGCCCTCAGAATCAGCTATGAAAAGAGTGACGTCACACACTGCCAGGAAAACTCTGCATCTCGACTGGCTGTGCCAGCAGGGTAAAGTCAGCAACCGTGAGTAAAACATGGAAACCTCTCAGCCTCTCTCTTTGTTTTGGAGACATCACAAAGAAATGTATGCAAAACACAGATCCCACATCTCTTCTTTTCAATATTCTTGCCTATAATAGGAAGGTAAGCCTACCTGTAAGGATTATCCAGTGACTAAGTTGAACAGCTGAACCATGGGTTTTACCAGCTCAGCAGCGGACTGGGGTTACAGGTCCTGCCCAATGCCCTCTGTACCATTCACACAGCACTCTGCCTTGCATCTGGACTCAGGCAGTCGTGGCTGCACAAGGGCAGGCCATTCATCCCAGCCTCAAAGGGACGTCTGTCTGGCAGGGCACACAGCCCTGCTCCAAGCAGCTCTGTTGTCCCCTTGTTCTCGGATGGGAAGCAAAGACCAGCAGAAACATCCACATCATTAGCCAGAAAAATCAACCAGCAGTTCTAGTACTGGGATCTTTTCATCTGAACAAGCTAAATCATGCTAAAGACCCACAAAAACCAGCAGTCCTTAGAAATTATAAGGAGAAAAACTGAAAAGAAAAAAGTGACATGATGTACTAAAATCCACTGATTCTTGTGTTCTTGGTCATAAGCCCAGACCCTTGGATTATCATTACACAGAAACTTTTTCTATGAAATCTTTGTGCTGCAGGCAATCTAAAAAGTAAAAAAGATTGTCAATAGGAAAATTTAATCCTATTTAATCTATTGCAATAGGAGACTCATTTACTGCTTTTCCATCATTATCAGATCAAGATCATTACCAGATAAACTTTTTTCCCTTAGAAGTCTTAAATCTTTAAAAATTAAAGATATTTCCTTCCTCCAGGCCTTGTCCCACTACTCTGACACTATTGGCAAGACTAACATGGAAGGAAAGGGCTTTCTACTACATCAGTTCTGCCACTTAGCAAAAGCTGTAATTCAAAAACATTAAAAGCTAAACTGGGAATTGTGCCTTTTTGTTTCTAAACACTGAAAGCAGATAATGTCTTATATCCTCTGTCTGACAGATAACCCCAGGACATGGTTTGTGAGAATTTTTTTTTTGCTATTTTACAAGATGCTTCTGTTAGAACAGAATCCACAGTGCTTTTGCTAGCTGGTTTATGGACACCTCTGATCTATGATCAACATCAAGGCTAGAAGCCTTTTATACAAAGTCCATGGGGAACAGCCACATCTCCTTCCCCTTAAAAAAGGGAAGAGAAAGAAAAGGCAAGCAGCTAGCAACAGAAGAGTGTATATTGTGGTTGATCCGAAATACTTACTCAGCTTTGGTGCTTTTCACTTTTAAAAGCACTTGGCTCTTAATGGGTTTGCCTCGTGGCTGACAGAATTTCACTCCTCCTTTCAGAAGCTTGCACAGCCACTCCCAAGGGATTCAGTGGAAGTGGGGCATGCATGGCTGCCAAGAGTAACCCATGGACAAGAAGAGCAAGTAGGAGAAATCATTTTCTCACAGCCTTGGTAAGTGCTCCAGGCTGTCTGGTCATCATGGGTATTAAAATGAGAGGGCAGAAGCAAATTCAGGACTGCCTCTGGCCTTTGGGTCAGACACTCAGAGTGTTTAACGCTAGCAATAGTCTAAATAACTTCAAAAAGTGAATCTTCCTGCATTTTTGTGTGCTTCATCCTGCTTTTCTAGCCAATGCTGTCCTTCAAAATAAAAATCAGATGACTGAGTATAATTTTCTTTGCTAGAAAAAGAGTCATAATCTGACACACCCACCTTCGGCTCCCAGGGATAAGTCATCTTCAAAACTTCCTCCATTTCTCACCAGCATGCCTGAAAACATACAGTTAGCACTTCAACAACTACAGTGCTCCAATGTTTTCCTTCCAGCTGCTTATCTAAAGATATTAGCAAGACACTTCATTTGATACAAGAAATAACTCGACTTTATTTACAAACCCTGCATTACTCATGCAGTTAAAATGCATTAAGAAGCAAGAAGTCACATTTCAGAGCATAGCAAAATGATTTTGAAAGGAAACAACTACAACACTGCTTTGGTTTTGCACTCAGAAACACTTCCAAGTCAATGTGTGAGCAAATTAACTTCAAGTGGGAACCTGGAGGTACCACTCAGCACATCTGTGCCTTTGGCTGCTGCATTATCTGTTCTCCAGACATCTTACCAGGAGAATCCAGAGTCTGAGTCCAGCTGGGGCATTTCCCTCTCACCTTCCTGTACCAGATTAGGAGCTGAAGTGAAGACTCCAGGCACAACAAGTAATTCTTCTTCACTGTCACTACCTGCCCATTCCCACTGTACTTTGAACTTTAGTATTCGGACCTGCTCGGATAGTAAAATTTTCAGGTGTGGCAACCACAGTTATTAGAGGCAGAGACTGCTTAATGCTTTTCAGTTTGGAGACAAAATCACCTCCCTATTTTGCACATCTGGGAGTTTTTTTAGAGCTTACAAAGATCTCCAGAAAGACTTATTCAGGTTCTTTTCCCCCTTCTCCAGTTCCTCAGACACAATTGCTCTGCTGCGAGAATAACTCTGCAATACTGACCCAGCTTTGGTTTGCTACTAAAGGCCCCAAGTCTCACATGAATGTCCTTGAAAACAGTTTCCAGCAAAAGAGATTTCAGTAGGTAAAGCCCTTCCTTACCCTTCAACAGAGGATTGCTTTGCTCATCCAGGGAGGCTCCCAGAGGCGTTCTGAAACCACAGAAGAGATTAACACTGCTTAAAAACTTGCTGCTTCATGTCCTTCCTTACAGCATGTAACAAGCTTGTGATAGCAGCAGTTGTCCCTCCCTCCCTCCTTCCCTCCCTCCGCCCCCAGAAAGCACAAACATCTGACGACTGGCAATAACTTCCTAAACAACTCCCAGCCCTCTAAATAAATACACCTTGCAGAGAAAAACAACAAAACATAATAACTGCATAACTGCAAAGCTCAAACACCTTCAGGAGCAGAAGCCCCTGATGAGGAAAATCATGGGCTTCTCAGCAAAACACCCAGAAAAAACAAGCATGAATTTTTGAATGGATTAATTCAATCTCATTTAAGCAGCAAAAACTGTTGCCATTTTTCTACACATTTAAAACTTTTTGGAGAAAGGGGTGAAAAGCTGTATTTGATGATCAGGAAGAATCAAGATAAAAAATCTTGACAGCTATGTTAGCTGTCACTTGCCAGTTCTGATGCCTTACAGGCTGTTCACACTAGCTCTTTTTTGGATGATCCCTCCCATAGCTGCTGCCTGAAGGGCAGGGGATCTGCTGAACCTCATGGTGCTTGAAAGGAGCAGCAGAAGCCTCACAAGTCCAAGACAGGTCCAATCCCACTCTGGGTTCACACTGTATTTGTTGACACTAGCTAGATGTTTCCACATCTTGTCTCTCAGTCATGTTTAACCAAAGCCTGGTCACTTCTAAGTAGCACAGCACTAACTTTCAATGCTCAAAACAAATTCAGAAATATAATACTCATAAAGAAGGGAAAAGCAGATGATCTATCCACCTACATTATGTATATTTCATTTGGATTTTCAATTAGACAAACACATAAACCTGCCCGAAGACCTGAAAGTAAACAGTGCTCTGATACAGTATTTATTTTGGTGCCATAGCCAAATTAAGGAAGGAAAGTTTGCATCTGCTTTCTAACAGACCTTACACTTCACAACTTTATTTTTCTTTCCCCTCTGAAAAGAGCTCACTCTCTTCAGATGCAGCTTGCTGATACAGGGCAACCTCACTTCAACATGCCTTCTGCAAAGCAAAGCAAAGCAAAGCCCCACCGTGGTGGGACTCCAAGGCAAACAGCCAGAGCATCCAGTGCATAAGCACATTCCAGGTGACAGGACACACTCTGCTGAGGCTCAGATCTCCTGCATTTCTGGATGTCTGTCCAGTCAGAGTCTGAAAAAACTTAGGCTATATTGTCTAAACCTGTCAGGCTGCAAGAAGCCTTATGTTCTGAGGTAATAACTATGCTGGATGTTTACTCCCTGGCCCTGATGGGTGCATTCCCAATCTTCTCCCTCTCCTTCCCTGGTGACTCCCATGCCTCTATGTTTTCAATGTAGAAACTTGCTGGCATTGACTCTGACAGCCAAGGTCAGTGCTGCATGCAGTGGCTGGTAGAGAGCAGTAAAAGCATCCATCAAAGCTGGCATTTTCCTTTCGAAATGAAGTCTGTCACCACTACAGCACATGAGCAGCTCCCAGAAAAGCATCCTTTCAACCACCCCTTGCTGCCCTACCTGCACAGCTGCACACAGCTGCCATACACCCCTGCCTTTGAAACACTTGCTCTTAAGAACTAGGCAAAACATGAGTTTAAACAATGGAGAAGTACCACACAAAAATCCTTTTGTAAAACAGCACGATAGCTCTGCCTGTTTGCACCAGGCTGTTTTCCACCACCATGGCTCAGTCTCAGAGCAGCCCTGTGCACCTGGCAATGTCAGGGCTGCGGGACCCTTCCTCTTGTTGTGCCCTCAGGATGGGGTCTGCCTGCCTCACACAGCCTCAAGGCTTCCTCTCATCCCATCTGAACTTTGTTCAGCTCCCACTTGTGGTCAGGTGGTCTCTCAGAACAAGACAAGGGTTTTGCACTGCGCTGTGGAAGTGTTTAAATCACAGCTTTTAAAACCTTATCTGGGCAGAAGCCATGTTTATTTTAAACTTGAAGCAAAAAATCTTCTTTCTGAGGCATTTCAAGAACTCACTTCCTGCATATCTACAGGAGATGGCTCCTAGATACCTCCCACATCCCCTGTATTACTGGCAGAGTTTAAATATATTCAATCAAAATAATACACGTCATCATAATAGTTGACAAAAATTTCTTTTCATCTATCAGTATAATACCAACGCTTGTGTTTTAACTTTTATGAGCTTTCTTATTACTTCAAGGTGCCTTTTCAAAGTACTGGGGAGAGAGAAAAAGAGGCCTTTTTCAAAGGCATGTGATTCCCAAAATGTGAATGAACCAGAGACTTTGACTAACATCTGACATTTTTTATGCCTCCATAATTCTAATCACAGTATGATAAATGCTTGCTTTTTTGCTTTTGGGGTTTGCTGCTAGTTATTTCTTTATAAAAATCCCAAAACAACAAAAAGGGGATCTATCAACATAAATAACATGGGAAATTAGGAACCCTCATCTCCTCTAAAGCAGATGTGAAACAGAGATGCCAAGTAATAAAAGCCCCAAACCATTAACATAAGTATCAAAGGACAGCTAGTAATTCTTTTTATCCATATTAGAACACTATTGATGCCTTTAGAAACAAACAAAGGAATAAAACTTATAAGAAGATCTATTTATGCAGTGGGTTGATATTAAGGTTTTTTGTGCTGCTGCCAACTCAAACCAGAAAATGAGATTTTAGAAGTGCCAGTTTTCTTCTGGTTTCATAAACACATACAGAAACTCAGAAAATGTGAAGCACTACTTTTAGAAAACATGTAACAGAAAAAATATTGCATTCAGCTACTGAATCTTCATTCGTAGTAATAGCTGCATGGTAACTTGTATGGAGCTAACTTGTAAGAATAAGGTTGTGCCATGAACCAGAAATAGCAGCTCCATTTGTGTATGCTCACACTTTTTAGCAACCAAAGCTTGACAGCAAAACCAGTGTTATTAAACAAGCAAGAAATTTCAGGGAGAACAACTTACGAATTGTAAATTTCACAATCATTATTTTTAAACAAAACACTGTAGTATCTGCAGGGCTATTCTGTTTTCCTCTCTTAATGCTGTCTTCTTTTCCTATGTACATTGTCATCTAGGTTTCTATACATGCTATCACTTGTAACATTGCAAATTGAATTATCACTTTACTGCACATGCTAGCAACTGCTTGCATGTACGTTAGGCACAAAAAATTAAACTGTTCTGCAGTTTAAAACACAAGGAACTGTGCAGCCCTTCACAGGCTGCTGGGATTGCATCTTCCAGCCATGAACCACAGGTGCTGGCACCCTGCACGCCACAAAGCAGAGGTTAACTGCTGCCTGAATGGCATTGTGTAGGAAATCTGGCTTTAAAAGTCCTTCTGAGCAGAACACAAGAGTCCTCTGAAAATACTTACAATAGTAAACAACTGTACTTCAAAAGGCTACTGTGCAAGGAGAGCAACAGGTTTCACAAACAAGAATTACCTAAATTTGTGTTTCTGTATTAGCAAAAAAAAAAAAAAGTTAACTTGGGCTTCATTTGTTATTTGTAAAACAAGATTCCCTTATTTTGGGAATCAACAGCCAGAGATGCAAACACATTCCACAGAAATGTGTGATGCCAGTTTTAACAACAGATAGTTACCAAAGCATGGGTATGAAACTGCAAGCTTTGTGTTAGTACTCAAAATTTTAGGCCATCTACTAGATGTTCATGTTGTCAGGTTGCAGCTTTGTGCTATTCTTAAATTCTGTATGGAAATGTTAAGGACTATAGGGCCAGGGAAGGTTCTAGACAGAAATCCTGCAGATTTAGACATAGTGGCAGTGCAGCATCAGGAAGAATATCTTCCCTAATGGCCTCTTTCCCCTCCAGTCCTTACATTTTTTGCCCTCCCCACTCAAAAAATGCTTCCAATAAAGCACTGAATTTGTAATACTGATTTTAAGAAAACTGTTTAGTAGACCAACAGGACACCAGATGTGAGGTAAAGTCAGAAAAATCTTCTCCCATTCTAGCATTTTGGAAGAATGGTCTGTCATGTCTGAACATTGTATTTCAGGG